TTTAGATGTTGTTACAATATTATTTACAAATGAAAAATACATCTGGAACTCAAAACAGTTATTAACCAACATCGAGTTCAGAATTTTCAATATAAATGTCAAGACAGTTCTACCATATGGGGCAGAGACGTGGAGAACTACGAAAGCCATCATCCAGAAGATACAAGTGTTTATTAACAGTTATCTACGTAAAATATTTCGGATCCTTTGGTCAGACACTGTCAGCAACAACCTACTGTGTAAGAGAACAAACCAGATTTCAGTTGAGGATGAAATCAGGAAGAAGCACTGGAAGTGGATAGGACACACATTGATGAAAGCACCAAACTGCATCACAAGACAAGCCCTCACATGGAATCCTGAAGATCAAAGGAGAAGAGGTAGATCAAAGAACACATTACACCGAGAAATGGAGACAGATATGAGAAGAATGAACAACAACTGTATAAAACTAGAAAGGAAGGCCTAGGACAGAGTGGGTTGGAGAATGCTGGTCGACGGACTATGCTCCATTAGGTGTAACAGGCGTTAATAAAAAGTAAGAAAATTAATGAAAATGAGAACTTCATATGAATTTGAAAATATCAATGTGTTTTTTTAAGTAGCCTCCCGAAATCTCGACAAAATGTAAATGAATAATGACTAACAAGACGCGGGTTCAAAAGATTTTTCATGCGATTAATCAGCTTCAGACTCTATGAGTTAATAATCAATCTATCTATCGTAAATTGGTATAATAAATATTACCCTTCTTAGGTTTTCGTTTATAGATATAAGTACACAAACTGCCAGTGGTCTTTGTCTACTTATTGGTCGATAAAATTGTGATTTCTATATATGTGTTAGTTATTCGCAACTGGATTTGTTTGTTCTTGATAGATAGCCGTTTCATCAAGACGACTAATTTTTGTCTCATAACATTCGAATCACCCCACCTACTCACCAGATGTGGAGATGGTAACACATGAAGAAACGTTGGAGTAACAAAATAACCTGACATCCGGGTGCATATATTGTAAATTAAGCAATGGATAAATGCGCTACCTTAAATGTAAAGTATTTTGAAGATGATTGAAAAGATTGATAGATCTTTAGTTTTGTAAATTAAAGCTTTTATGATCTCAGTTACAGTGTTTATTGAAGGATCAATATTTCCATTGACTGACTACTTGGTTGACAAGGAAGGTGTTTACTGATTTTTGTGTGTGATAAACTATAATCAATAGGAGCAGTCAAATATTTAATGCAAATTACACATGAAATGAACACGATGAATTGGTGTGGCCAATAATTCTCGACGCAACTACTTATTGTTGATATGTTAATAAACGGGATCGTGGATACGCACTACTGAGGAGTCTCATATTAAGATGAAACGGACGCCTAGTGCTTCTAGGTTTTCCATGGTGTTCTAGTTTTAATTGACTCACAAATTCAACTATTAAAGAATACATATGAATCTTTCCGGTATCTTGTTTTTGCTACAATCCTAATATTTCAATCATGAAATAATCTTTAGTCAATCTAATTGATCTATGAGAACCGTATTTCTTTTTATCGTTAGACTAGCTTCAGTAATCAACCACTTTGGTTGATTGTGAAATTCGGAATTTGTAGTGCACTGATTGTAGGACAATGAAGTTGTGACCTAAGTATTAGAATAAATTCTTGTCTGTCATATCAGAATTAATATGAATAATATTGTAGTGTACGCTACTTACAAGATTATTTTTAAGTAATGTTCAGCGGAACGTGACGTCGAAGTTGCTATAATTGTCAGACGTAGTGAAGAGCTTCATTGCATTGAAAGTACGGCATTGGCAGAACATTTGGAGATCAGAGGAGAATACAGTCCATACGGCAGAACACATCAGAAGATGCAAATTGAAGATTGTAGATTATACATAATATACTATATGAGTACTTTGTAACTCCTCACAACAAATACATTCTTCCTACTTGTTGTCGTGTTTTACAACATGAATATACGATACAAGCTATGAGTTATATGTAAAGAGATTCGAACACTTCAGTTCTACTTGAAGTTTGTGATGATGATGTCGTTCAGAAGAACTATGGAAGCTCCACGATCAAATCAACCAGGTAAGAGAACAAAACTCCATCAAAATCATCCACCTGAACTACAAATCTTTTATACCATCCATGTTTCGATCTATGTTAGAACTTTCTGTTGAATGTATTCACATTCCAAAACAAAATCAGTCCATTGAAATACCGCTGTTACAAAGTAAGATATTTATTACTAATTATGAAGTTTTATATTGTAGTTTTCCAAATGGTAACTTCCTGAATTGGATTTGATAAGTTTCTGTTGATGTGCTGATTGGCTAAGTGAATGATTTGGCTATATATATTCGGATAGTTGCTAAGTTATATCGGTCAAGATCGCCTACAAATCAATTTGTGCTAATTTTATGACTAAAATAGAAACCAAGGGCGGAGGATTCATGCGACTGTAGTCACTTTTTTCATCTCTAAAGAAAAATTTCGTAATAACTCCACATTTATTGATGAGATCAAACCAATAACCAAGATGTTTAGCATATATACTCACAGGGGGGGGAGTAATATAAATTTCTGACGACTGATAACTTAGTAAACAACAAGGAAAACATACATATTAAGTTCATTTAGTATTGTTTGTTTGAATCTTCCTATCGATGTATTAGGCCTGCAACTGGTCAGTCTCTAATTGGCATATGTGCATACTCTACGTATCGCCTCGATATAGCTCCAATCCATCTCTGCTTACCATGCTTGTTAATTAAAGCTATATCGAGGCAATACACACAGTATGCTCACTAAATTCTGATATCCATGCAGTCAACAGTTAATTTGCAAAATAACAATCAATTGTCTCAATCTTAAATGTTCCTTCTGCAAATATCAGTTTATCTTCTCTGATTTCATTGTTCATACATTTTCATACCCGATTGTGCTTCATTCCTATTCTTTCCTTATCGTTCTTCTGCCAAAATACATTCTATGCCTAACTCTCACTATATACTACTTATATGGATATAAGTAGACTACACCACAATACCAAAAAAACAAGTGTTCTCTTGGGTTTCACTATAAATTGTTTATTCATTAATAATAATAACATCATGATCATAACATCATATCAAAATAATAATCATAATAACATTGAAATTTATTAGAATGACATATTTGTTCACAGTTATTTTTCTCTACTTATAAACCCTATTTAAGTAGCTTATTTAAAAAGAAAATAATAATCCAATATTTTGACAAAACAAACAAAATATTTTTTTTAATTTTTCATAAACTGCTAATTACTGTCAAATTAAAATGAAAGAAAAACAAAACAAAACAAACAATAACATAACAAATAATAAACATTTAATTAGGTACCATCAACAACATCTTCCTCCTCCTTCTCCTCCTCCTCCTCATCATCATCATCATCATCATTGTGTGTCTTTCCCAATGATCAAATATCAATACCATTAAGATAGTTGATAAATAAAAAAGAAATTCAATTATAAGTAGTATATTTTTACAGTTACAAATTAGTTGGTTAAGGGATTAATCAAAGGTATTCTGAATACACAATTTGTCTTAATGAAAAGATGTAGAAAAATGGTAGATGATAGATATATAGTTGAAATCATGAGTCCATTGAAGCTAGACCATTATACAAAACCTGGAAGCAATGGATAGTTGTTTCATCCTAATGTGTGACTCCTCAGATGATAGATATGTGCAAATAAATGGTTTAATTGATAAGTATTATTTGTGTACATTTGAATACTACTGATTCTTATCAGTAACAGTTAAGTTAAAAGTTTCAGTAAATATGATAACTGCATAATGAAACATACTCTTTTATGCATTTTAAGATTTAGTCATTGATATGAACTAAAAATTTCGGTTTAGTTCGAAGTTCTTTGAAGGCAATATCGAAACAGTCTGCACAGGATGAATATACGCCACCAAGAGATTGATCAATTGCAGTCCTAAGTAAACAACACAAAATGAACTTCTATGTGTTTTGACAATATTCCAAGATTTATGGTCAAGATAGTTAACTCATTTGGATTGAAACACTTTTGAAATGAGTAAAGAGTGTATATATCACTATCTAGATAGTATACTGGAATTGAAACGTACAGTGTTAATGACAACAACAAAAATTTCTAGGTACCATTTGTGCGCTTTAAACGGTATATTTGTCTCAACTTCATTAGAAAATATCAGTTAGGAAAGAAAGCATGTAAAGAAAAGTTATTGAGTGCTTCTTTTTACAACATCACCTAAAAATCTCTCAACTCTAATTTAAATTGGCAACTCAACATTTAATAGTTGAGTACATCAGTCGAATAAAGCTAGAACAACCTGGAAACACTGAGACTCCATGATTCCGCACGACAGAGACTCGAACTCAAGACCTACCACTCTCGAGCCAGAGAACCTTAACCGATAGGCCACTGAGCCGGCATCCAATGGGGTTAATGTCCCACTTCCATTGATCTACAACCGTTCACCCCCTCTGATCTATAATCATATGATCACTAGTGACTGGCTGTAAGGAACGTTTCCTTGAGTTCTAGTGGGAAGCAGTGACCAGTGAAGTTCAACCAGGACTGTTGTAGAGATATCAACTCACTGAAGATAATTGGTGAACGGTTGTTCAACACCGTTTGTTGCCAGGTCAGTGGTCTATGGGTTAAGGGCTCTAGCTCAAGACTGGTAGGTCCTGGATTCGAATCTCGCGAGTGCGGTTACGTGGATGTGCACTACTGAGGAGTCCCATAATAGGACGAAATGGTCATCCAGTACTTTCAGGTTTCCATGGTGATCGAGCTTCAATTGACTCATGATTTTAACTATGAAAATAATTTATCTTGTTAAGTTCTTAATCTGATTGGTTATTTCTTTTTCAATTTCGATTGGTTAATGAATACAAAAAATTTTTTTAACAAATATTTTTACCCAGATTCAAATGATGAAAAGTCATGACAACAACCTCCCCCCCTCTTATCATTTAATCTACTATTTAAATAATTTAATCAGTTAATTCTATAATTGTCATGGAGAATATTTATCCATTTAGTCTTTCTATCATTTTGAATCTATTCAATATTCAATGGATTATATCTTATGAACAATTGTATCCAACAGATTTTCAATCATTAAATTTAGGTTCATGTTTATTAAATGGGGGTGATTTATATTGTCAAAAATATAGACGTTATAGTTTTTGTTCAATAAAACATGATGAATGTTTTTGTTTACCAAAATATGTATCAGTTTATGAAATGAATGATAGTTGGTATACATGTAAACCATGTAAGTGAATTGTAATCTGATTTATTTGACTTAGTTACTTACTTACTTACTTACGCATGTTACTCCCAATGGAGCATAGGCCGTCGACCAAAAGTAACTTTTTTTCTGGGTAGCGTTTTTTTAGCGAGTTGGTTTTCTACGAGATGAGGTCGTTAACTCCATGCCCAACCTTTCTCCTTTATCCGAGCTTAGGACTGGCAATAGCCCCCGAAGGAGCTACAGGTAGAGTTAGATCGATTCATTGATTGATTGTTTGTATTTAGAAATACTTGATTCAGAAGACAATGTTTACTGATTGAAAGCTTTCTACATGAAGTTCTGTTTGTGATTTATATGATAGTTTGAAAGAACGGAATATTAAGATCCATCTTTTCAATCAGCAGGTACCAAAAAAATTAGCAATAAAAATAATCTACTGAAATTTCCCGGAAAACACTATAGTGTTTTCACTTTTCACAAGGATTTGTTTATCCTACTTTCTAATCAGTCTCTGTTGACATAAGGGGGAATCCTGAAAGCATACATTGAAACTTGCTTTTATTTACGGGATTAGTGTAAGAACTTCGAATGTTCATCTCGAATCATCTACTGATCTTTTGTGTATTGTGTTTTGGAAATTTGATGAGTAATGATCTGGTATCTGAAGTAATCATCGCTGGATCTCATTGTTGATGTGCGATTTGGAACAGACGTAACAGACATTTAGTTAATATATCTTCAACAGAACAGAATACTTGTCATAGCCGTTACTGTTAGCTGTTTATCATGACAAACCTATGTATCAGTTAAGACGATTAGACAGTTATCTAATACCCCCTACTGCAAATTAAGTGTAGATGATGTCTTTATAATGACAGCATACTTAAACAATCTCGACTGATTCCGAATACTGAATAAATCAACAAATTTGCTCCCCTTCACTAAGAATTATGTCAAATAAACACTTAGTTTATTACCTCACAATGAAGTATTTTCAGAATGAGGGTTTGTAGAAATTTTAATAAATTAATAGTTACATCCATTAGTCGATTTAAGCTAGACTACCATGAAAAATCTGCAAGTACATGACGAACGTTTCGTCTTAATACGGGACTCTTCGACAGTGCTTATCCACGATCCCGCACTAGTGTTTAGAACACAGTCTTGCGCTGGAACGCTTAACACTTAGACCAATAAATATTTTACATTTTTAGTTTTTCTACTGGTAAGTAGCTTGATATATTCGATAGCATTTTTTAATGCCAATAAATGCATTGTTAGGAAGACAACGATCAAAAACACTCTCTATTAATTACCTCTAACAAACTAACTGGTATATACTAAATGTTTTGTAACATTGTGCCTGTTCAATTACCAGTACGACCAGTAAATGTTTTTAAGCAATTTGAAATAACACAGAGTTTATCTGATCTCCAAATTTTATTGTCTTTTTCTTAACTACTTATGTTATCAATTAACCAATCCACGAAATTGGTTGAAGTTAGATATTAACACAGTTGGATACCGGCTCAGTGATCTAAATGTTAAGCGTCCGCACATGAAATTGAAGGTCTTGGGTTCGAATCCTGCGTGTGGGATCGTGGAGTTCCATACTAGGATAAAATGGTCATCCAGTGCATTCAGATTTTCCAATGGTAGTCTAACTTTAATCATTTCATAAATTCAACTACTAAACAAATCACAATATATAGAAATAACATTTGCCTTGTTCAAAGAGTTTACATCTGAATGATTTAAAACTTCAGTAAACTTTTTCGTTTGCATAGTCCATTCGATCTAACAAACGATTGACCTCATTATTAAATTAAATATTTCTCCCTAAAAATGAGTAAACATAATGTTTATCTTGGATACTAAGGAGTATTCAATTGTCTTTTATTGTATACCTTAAAAGATCAATATTGTTACTACTCTATAATTATTGATTTTCGAATAAATAGAAATGTTAATTATAGTAATTAAAGACTATTCATTGACCTAAAAGTACTTCTTTAATGTCCATGTAAAAAGACTAAACCTTTATTGGTGAGCAGAGATGGGTAGTGGCTAGAAGTGGAATCCAGGACGCGCGTTTCGTCTTATTTGGGACTCGTCAGGTGGATGTACCTGCATCTCAGAGTTGATGTGCACTCTGGGACTCGAACCCATTAACTTTCACTTCAATCGTCATCACGTTATCCATTAATATACTGAGTCCTGATAGCCACTAGCTTGTGCAGTGGGGTGAAGTTTAAATTCATTTAATATTGCTTGTTTGAATCTTCCCATTGATGTGTTAGGACTGCAACTGGTCAGTCTCCAATTGACTTTAATGTTTGGTATATCATCGTTTCAAAATGTTCAGAGATATTGAATAATAGAGGCTCTGATTGGTTTGAAATATTCTGGCTTACTTTCCTAGCTTTCTTATAGTTTGTACATAGAACTTGAGATAGCATTTTTAACTATTCCGAAGGAAGGGGTTTTGTGGATATTATAGTAATTTTAATAGTTGAGATCATTAATCAATTGATGCTAGAACATCATAGAAAACTCAGAAGCACTGCGAGGCCGTTTCGTCTTATTGTGGGACTATTCAGCAGTGCGCATCCACGATCTCGCTTCACGAGATTCGAGCCCAGGACCTATCAGTCTCGCATGCGAGCGCTCAACCTCTAGACTACTGAGCTGGTATCCAAAGGTGTTAATGTCTAACTTCAAGCAATCCTCGAAATTGAGCATCCGTTCACTATTGTCTTCAGCGAGTTGATGTCGAATCTCGCGAGGCGGGATTGCGGACACTCACTGCTGAGGTGTCCCGTAATAAGACGAAATGTCCATCCCGGGCTTCCCGGTTTTCCATGATGGTCTAGCTTCAGTTGACTCATGATTTCAACTATTTCGATAAAATAGATAGTATTATAATCTTTAACTGATTATCTTTCAGTCATCGGTAATGTAATATGTTGTCATACCATGTTAATGGAATACTTTGGAATATATAAGTGAACAAGAATTCCATTTCTTTAACAATATAAAAACGTTTTCTCAAGCAAATAAAACTATTTTCGAAATCCATCCATTTACAGTTTGAGAACCTGTTGTATGAATCATATGTATTATGTCAATGATATTCCCAGTTAGTTGTATCATTATGATAATCTGAATAACTCACAACATCGTTATTATTTCAGTAATACCAATCTGATCAATATTCACTTTTAGGATATCATCAATTGTAGACAACAGGTAAAATTACATACTCAGTAATCATAATAATAGCTGGAGATTACTGGTCTTCCCGGTCTCCTACACTGTCCGGACGTTCCAAGTATCTATAAAAAGTGTTGCTCTGGTTGTTAGAAGGGCCATCAGCCTCGTGACTTCCGAAAAATCTCGGCTTTCATCATCAGACGTCATAATTCTTTCTTCAACTCTCAGGGCAGAGTTTAAATGGTTTGAATTATTTTTTCTGGTTAGCGAGCTGGTTTTTCTACGGGATGGGGTCACTAACCCCATGTCCAACCCTTCTCCTTTTACCCGGGCTTGGGACTGGCAGTGACTCAAGAAGAGCTACAGGCGAAGTTAATAACTGGAGATAATCAACACAACAAGTATAGCCACAGTAAAGAAGTATACCAACCGGATACACGAAATTGAAATGAATTTCTTCCTTATGCCAATTTAATTTGTATGCGTTGAAAATATTGAGCAAGTGTTTGTTTCTAAATTCAATTGGTATTGATTTACTTGAATGTTATCATTGATGTTTATAACTGCAATTGATCAGTCTCTTGTTCGTATATGTGCATATTGTGCATATTACCTCGATATAGCCTTAATTCACAAGCATTATAAGCATAAACGGTTGGTGGCTAGCAGTGGAACTCAGTTTGACGTGTATTTTAATCTTATTTGCGACTGATCAGCTGGATATACTTTCATCTTAGATTTGATTTTCACTCTGGAACTCGAACCCAGTACCGTTCGTTTCAATGTCCATCATGTTATGTACTTAGCTGAATAATCCTGATAGTCATTTGTTTGTGCAATAAGTTGAAGTCTAAATACACTTGGTATTGTTTTACATGAATCTTCCCATTGATGTTTAGCACTGCAATTGTTTGTGTTTATTTTTGTCCACAGAAATAATTAAATATTATTCGTCCTCGTTATTTTCAACTACCCCTGTCTTCTACTGATATCTTTCTTCACATAATGTACCTAATTCATAAATATCGGCTTTAAAAGTGTGAAAGAATAAACTCAAAGGAAGATAAACAAGCCATAGATTCCTCATTATGGAACTTTGTGCTTTTCATTAATGTTTGCATGTATATTAGACAACATACTTAGAAAAATAACCATTTAAAACAAATACTAAACTGGAATAGTTCATGTGATATTTGAACAGTTAAAAAAAAATTAGCGTTTCTTCTTAGCAAGTTAGTTTTCTACCGGATATGGTCGCTAGCCACATGAGAAACCCTCCTCATTTATCATGGCTTCGGGCCGACAGTAACTTCAGAAGAGCTCCAGGCGGAGTTAGTTGAAAAAAAATTAGACAACTTCAATCCATGAAAACATTTACTTATCGATACTGACCTAGTGATGATATAATATGTAGTAAAGAAAACCCACTAACGAAGTAAATCCATAAATCAGTTTATTCAGTAGTATTTTAAGTAAAAATATCAAATATTAGTACCAGATCTTCTAAAGGATAAAGAAATTGTCGTTTTATAATGTACAATAAATGACAATTTTGACATTGTATTGATACAGCTTCTAACGAATCATTATTATTTTATCATTAAAAGACAATAAGATGAATTGGTTACAATTAAGACACCATTATAGTATAGTTGTGAACTTGTCAAAAATTTAGAATAAAAACATGATTGTCTTAGTTTTGTTAGATTTTACTAAGTTAACTGTAGTAGTATGGTATGGACTACTGATATCGATAGATATAAGTAGTATGTATCATCAATGGAAAGTGAAATACCTGGAGGTACATGGTTAAGAAGATCTAAGAAAAGAGAATGAGAACAAAAAATGATTAGTATAGAAACGAAAGAACAATAAAGTGCTAGACAATTGATTAACATTTTACAATTGAAGGATTTACTGTAAGGTTCTCAGATTTTACTGAGCAATTCTGTAATCTGTATCCAAATGCATTCGATTGTACCCACTTGTGTTCTCATTCACTACATTATGACAAAAATTAGCATTTATAGATGGTACACAGTTTTAAGTCAGTTTTATTCATTAGGTAGAAAAATTGTTGATAAACTATAATCATTATGACAATAGTGGAGAAGATTTGTAGCTCAGGTGGACGATTTTGATGGAGTTTTGTTCTCTGAGCAGGATGGTTTGGTCGTGGAGTTGTCATCGTTCTTCTGATCGTCAACATCAGCACAAACATCGGGTAGATGTTATCGTCCTCAACAGTGACCAATCAAGAACCCGCACACATAAATCAAACCAAGTACATTCTATCTCTCGAGGAAGTCTAACCTCTAGACCACTGAGCCAGAATTCAATGGTGTTAATTTCTAACTTCTTTTTCAACTGATAGTCTGTTTATGTTTTGCCACAGTAGGTTATTGTTGATGGACTATGGTCAAAGGATTCGGAGCATCCTGAGTGGTTAATATTTTACCTGTACCTTTTTAGTAATGGTTGTGGTAGTTCTCCAACTCTCAGCTACATGAATTAGGACTGTCTTAACGATATGTCTGTAATTCTTGACTTTGGCCTTGAGTGGCCATTTCTTCCAGTTTCAGTTATTCCTAAATTATAGCTATGTGACCCTCGCTTTGCTTATTTATGACTTGAAATCTACACTAGATTCTTCTTGTTTATCATTGATGGTGCCTAGGTATGTAAAGGCTTCGATCTGTTCCAGAGTTTTGTCATCAAGTGTTACTCAGTTGGTACCTTCTGTTTTGTACTTCAGAATCTTGCATTTCTTTAACAAATCCAGAGTGCTACTGCCGATACACTAGGAGTCTTCTTCCACATTTCTTATTCTGTATGAGATTGAAAGGCTAAATCATCTATGAAATTCAACTCATCTAGTCATTTCAAATATGTTCAAGAAATCTAACGCTTTAAATCCTTCTTTTTCCCGGATATGAGATTTTCAACAACCTTAAAGGATCTTCAGGCTCACTTTATCTTCTTACTAACAAATAGATTATAAAACTTTCAAATTAGTTCTTCAATAATTAAGAATAATTTAACTAGTTCTCTCTTTCTCTCATTATGAACATAGTAACTAACATTTCAACTAAAAAAAATGAAAAGTAATTTATGTCATTGAAAAAATTTAGTTTGATAAAACAAAAAAATAAGTTATGGCTAAATGGATGACAGGTTAATTATTCTTATCACCACCACCACCATTATTATTATTATTATTATCACCACCACCATTTTTATTATTGTCATCACCACCACCATCATTGTTATTATTAATAGTCATTAAAAGTCGATAATTAAGTTACCGAAAAATATCACCCATTGATTTTTTTGGTTTCCAATATTCAATAAATAATGAAGTGATCAGTGAGTTACTTGTTATCAGAAGGAGTTTGGTGGAAATTTAAGTAATTCTATAGAGTTGAGATCATGAGTCAATTGAAGCTTAACCACTAAGGAAAACCTGGAAGCATTGGATGGCTGTTCCGTCTTATTGTGGGACTCCTCAGCAGTGCGCATCCACGATCCTGCCTCTCGGGTTTCGAGCCCAGGACCTACCAGTGCTTCCAGGTTTTCCATAGTGGTCTAGCTTCAATCGATTCGTGATTTCAACTATAAAGTTACTAGAATCTCCACAAAACCCCTTCTGATAATGATCATAACCTGACTAGTGACTGGCTTCATGAGGTATTTCCTGGAGTTCTAGTGAGAAGCAGTAACCAGTGGAGTTCAACCAGGTCTGTTGGGAGATACTAACTCACTGATGATATTGGTGAATGGTTGCTAAATTTCGTGGATCGGTTGGAGTTAGACATTAACACCTTTGGATAGGGGCTTAGTGGTCTAGAAGTTAACTGTTCTGGGGCGAGACTGATAGGTCCTGGGTTCGAATCTCGCGAGTGTGAGATCATGGACGCGCACTTATGTTGAGTTACACAATAGGACGAAACGACCGTCGAGTGTTTCCCGATTTTCCATGGTGGTCTAGCTTCAATGGAATCATGCTCTCAACTCTATAAAGTTACATGTTAGTTGTAAAATAAAATATCTGGATTAAAATTAGAGAAAAAACTTTTGTGTTTTATGCTTTATCATTAGACTTTATTTACCTTTTAACAGTATTTAGTCTTAAACGTGTAGTGAGATACGTATAAGTGTGGTGTGTACTACTAATGTCGATAGATATAAGTAGTATTTATCACCAATTGAATGTGAAATACATGGAGTCAGAAGGTTAAGAAGACCAAAGAAAAGAGAAGGAGAACAGAGAATGATTGGTGTGAAAACGAAAGGACAGTGAGGTCTGAGACGATTGATTGATATTTTGCAAATGAAGTATTCACTGTATGATTCTCAGATTTTACTAAGATATTCTATAATTTTGTATTCGATTACATTCGATTATTTCCTACTTGCGTTCTCATTCACTGCGTAACCACTATTTCAATTTGTGGTAATTTAGTTTAGTTATTTATTTACTCTGAAGAAGTGACATACACTGAGTGACGAAACGTCAGAAGATTTTAAAACCATTTTCTCAGCTCACTGAGATCTTACAAATATATTATGTTCATTTATCATAGTTGAATTGTTTCTGCATTGATTATAATTATCTTAGAGACCTATAATTACCATATAATTAACATATAGTTCCGTGAAGGGATCACTATTGAATTGATATATTTTCAAGCTATATAATCCTATATAGATCTGTGAAAATTAGAGATGTAGAATAGTTTTCTCTCGTCACACTTTTAAATGTTCGATGTCAACTATTGATAGGATTATAATTAAAGGAGATGAGACCATGTGTACAACTCTAGCTTTATATCCTTAATGTTCAACATCTATCTTGGAAAACATTCATTAGAATAAATTCACTTGGTATTGTTTGTTTGAATCTTCCCATTGATGTTTAGGACTACAAATTGATCAGTATCTTATTGGTATATGTGCATACTGTGTGTATTGCCTCAATACTGCCTTAATTCACAAGCATTATAAGTAAAGACAGATAGTTGCTAGCAGTGAAATCCAGTTTGACGCGCTTTCCGTCCTATCTGGGAATTGTCAGCTGGGTGTACATGCATCTCACACCTGATGTTCACGGGATGGCGTTTGAAGTGAAAGGTACTGTGTTTGAGTCCTAGAATGAACATCAACTCTGAGATGCAAGTACATCCAACTGACAATTTTCAAATAGGACGAAACCAACGACCTATGTTCCACTACTAGCTACTATCCATCTTTGCTAATTTATTGGAATATATTAGGGTTTCAGAAATATTCTGCCAGTAGTTTTCTCATCTAGTGTCTAGTTGATGTTAATTAGTGATATCGATCCAAAAATATGACTGATATTGTTTATATGTCCCGAGATTAGTATCGATATATTATGGGTTCTTAGTGTATATTATGAAAAACTCAACATATGAATCCTGTTTTGATTATGTATTCAAATTATGCTCTTTCAGTAATGAGAAGTTCTCATTTATGAGTGACCGAGTAAATCCTACAGCTGATGATTTTAATATATACGTACTTCAGGCTATTATTATTGTACTTGATTGCTCACTACTGACTTAATTCAATTAAAAACGTGACACCTGTTCATTAAAATAGATCCACAAATAAACGTTAATATGTAGTTTATCTTGTAATGAAATTATAATAATCAAAGAACGATTCAAAAACCGGGTGCACTAAGAGTTTGTTTTGTTCAAGTCTGTAATTGTTTACTAGCGTTTATTACTAACCCTAAGTACTGGAATAAATCCGAGATATTCGAGTATTGTGGTAAACCCCTTACATGAAACACAGTGAGTTATTAGCCGATATTCCCCATTTTCAACTTCAGTTATCAGACGATATTATAGGGGTATTGGTATCTCTCACTCATTTGACCCCTCAAGTCGTTTCACATGAACATTGTGAATTCTTCTACAAATCGATTTCCAGAGTTCAACTGTATATTATTTGGATGGATAGTTTGTTGAACTAATCCACTGTATGATGATGGTTAACATCAAGAACTAAGTTCATCCAGACGGTTATAGTGAACCAGGGAGAATTAAGAAATTTTTTTTCTTTCTCTGAGCATGGTACTTTATGGTATTACTTAACGGCGACTGTAGCCGACTATGTGGTCAGTCATTAGGTCAAGTATTTCATCTCCAATTCATTTGCGACATAATGCCTAGCCACCATATTTTATTCCTGATATATAAATAAAACTCATTCATGGACGACTATAAAATCAAATGAGTATGATAGAATTTTCAGGAAGGTTTACAATGGCATGAATTGGTGTAGCACACATGAAAAGTTTCATTTCCAAAGTATTTTGAAACTAGTACTACATATTTGTTGTTTACCTTCGTCCTCAGTGAGACATTCATGACCGTTAGAATTGGCCGCTTCTTCAACTATTCCATGAAACGACTAAAGTTGTAATGTAAACCAAATTAGTTGTATAGAGGTTACATTTTTAATTGAGTTCGTAACGAAAACTATTTCTTTGCTTTAATAATTTATGATATGACAGTCCCGAGTTTAGTTAGACCTATGTGTTAATTGGATTATTTTTTTAATTTTTTCATCCCTAGTACTTACAGATTTATACTGTCGTATAGATTCAGATTGTTCCTATATTCATGGCAGTATATGTCATCCAGGAGTTGGTGCATGTGTTTGTCCTAGTGGTTATGAATTTGTATTTCAACATTTTTCATGCTGTAAGTTTTTGTTATGAATTTAATATCAAAGGATGCTTTTAATGAACTGATATCTATTTGATGTAAAGCCAACCTCAACTTTAGTAATGTAGGATTTACTTACTTACTTACGCCTGTTACCCCTCGTCGAGGAGCATAGGCCGCTCACCAGCACTCTCCATCCAACTTTGTCCTGGGCCTTCCTTTCCAGTTCTTTCCAGTTGTTATTCATCCTTTTCATATCTGCTTCTATTTCCCGGCGTAATGGCGTTCCTCTTTTCCGCTTCCCTTCCGCATTCCAAGTTAGGGATTGACAATGTAGGATTGGTAAGATCTTATTTTATTGGATTAGATTGTTATTAAATTATTCACCATTAATGCGATTAAAAGATGAACAAACGCAGTTGACACACAGTTATATAATATACCCTTGTGGGCCAGGGTAAATTTGCATTGGTTTTTAGGAGAACCAGACACCATCCATACTTTCACGTGACAACCCAAACAGTACAGCTCAATCCCTTTTAACAGGAGAGCTAGATACCACTCAGGCTTAACTCGAGCAGTACAGCTCGATCCAGCCCCACAGGAGAACCAGACACTAAATGGGTTTTAACACTACAGTCTGAACAATACAGCTCAATCCAGTGGCTCAACCACACGGGTACCAAGCTCCCTGGTGGACCATTCGTACCATTCATATACACATATAGCCTTAATTCACAAGCATTATAAGCAAACATGGATAATGGCTAGCAGTGGAATCCATGACGCGTTCCAAATAGGATGAAACGCGCTTCCTGGATTACACTGTTAGCCACTATCCTTCTTTGCTTATGAATCTCCGAAATTGATTGAATTTAGACATAGTTTTCAATGGTTATCTAATGAAGGTTAGTTCTTTACGTAAATTATATGTTTCTAACTATTACTTATTCTTTATATTTCTTCAGTACCACGTGCAAATGACAGTTTGAATCCGTTTTGCACAGCTTGTCAGAGAATTAATGGAGTATGTGTGGTAAATAATAGAAAAAACGGTTTATTGTTGAATAATTATTATCAAAAGTAAGTCATTTTGTAAATGTTCACTTCAATAGAATTCGTTTCACAATAGTTGTGCATGCAAATGAATAATACTTATGAATTATAGTGAACTGTATACTATTTTAATGATGACAAACTTTTATGTAGGTTATAAGCAAAGATGGATAGTGGCTAGCAGTGGAATCCATTTTGACGTTTGTTCCCTCCTATTCGGGACTCGTTAGCTGGATGTACCTGCATCTCAGACCTGATGTTCACTTTGGGACCCGAACCCAGTACCTTTCGCTTCAAACGTCATCACGTTATCCACTAAGCTACTGATTCCTGTTAGCCACTTGCTTGTGCAATGGGATGACTGACCGGTTGCAGTTCTAAACATCAATACGAAGATTCAAACAAACAATACTAAGTTAATTTAAACTTCACCCCATTGCACAAGCAAGTGGCTATCAGGACTCAGTAGCTGAGTGGATAACGTGATGACGATTGAAGCGAGAGGTACTGGCTTCGAGTCCCAGATTGTACATCAAGTCTGAGATGTAGGTACATCCATCTGACGAGTCCCAAATAAGACGAAACGCGCGTCCTGGATTCCACTGCAAGCCACCAACCATCTTTGCTTATAATGCTTGTGAATTAAGGATATATCGAGGCAATACGAACAATGTGCACATATTGCTAATAAGGGACTGATCAATTTGCAGTTCTAAACATCAATGGGAAGATTCAAACAAACAATACTTTATATAGGTGGATAAATATTTAGTGTAGTTATAATTATATAAAGTAACTATTTTGAGCATCCTGAGCATCAGGAAGAAGCACTGGAAATGGATGTGACACACATTGACGAAATCACCTAACTGAGTCACAAGGCAAGCGCTCACATGGAATACTGAAGGTCAGAGGAGAAGAGGAAGACCAAAGAACACATTACGCCGAGAAATAGAGACAGACATGAGAAGAATGAACAGAATTTAGATAGAACTAGAAAGGAAGGTCGAGGACGGAGTGGGTTAGAGAATGCTGGTCGGCGGCCTATGCTCCATTGTGAGCAACAATCGTAAGTAAGTAACCATCTTGAGCAGGATAAATACAAAATATCAAGAAGCATTACATGGTTCAGGAATAAAGTCAACTCTTACAATTATGTGTCAACCCTAGGTTACATAAACATTTCCTATTAACCATTTTAAAGAAAGTGCACTGCAACTAATAGGCACATTGCAACTTGATTAATAGACTAAAGACTATAGTAATAAAGACTATGTTGCATTCATTTTTGTTTATCTTTCGCTGTAACTATTTCAGTGTTATATGTGCTTAATAACAGCTTAACTAGCTAAGTGATAATGTTTTTTACAATTAAAATCAGTGATAGGGGTCAAATCCCATGGGAAAATATATCTCTTGTCTTCTCATGAATGCAGATATTTCTTTCTTATGTGTGAAATTTAACATTAAACTCAGATCAAGTGGTTGATTAAGGCATGAACCGACTAAGCATTTAGAATGGACGCTTAGATACTAACATCTTAGTTACATTATTATCTCGTATGTCTTCACACTAATAAATCCAGAATCAAAATCGATGAGCAGAAAATTAGCAAAAAGCTTTATTTTAAAGCTTAAGGATTATAAAACCCAAGAAGATATAACGTTGCTATACTTTCTAAAGATGTAAATATATTTAATTATAGAAAGTATCTAACATTCGTAGATTTGAAACTCCTTGAAAACATGTTACACAACCTCGTAGAAGTCTAAGATATCTTACTTAAGCAATCCTTAATATGACTTCAGTGGTAACTGTCATATATATTGATACTTTATAAATAAGAACGTGTTTTATTCAATTGATCTTGTCCACTCGTATACTCCCAATGTTATTAAGGACTGCAAGTGATCAGTCTCTTATTGACCATATATGCAGCTTGTAAGGACTGCCTCGATATAGCCTTAATTCACAAGGATTGCAAGCAAAGATTGATAATGGCTGACAGTGGAATACTGTTTGACGCGCGTTTCGTCCTATTTTGGACTCGTAAGATGGATGTACCTGTATCTGAGGATTAATGTTAATTGGGACTGCAATAGATCAATCTATTGTTTGCACACGTGCATCCGGCGTTCCATTCCCAGAGTGAACATCAGCTCTGAGATGGGGACATAGCCAGATGACGAGTCCCAAATAGGACGAAACACGCGTGAAACTGGATTCCACTGCTTGCCACTATCCATCTTTGCTTAAGAAAGTGTTCTGTTGTTACGATAAAAACCTAACTAATGATGTTATTGGCCAAGATTCTGAACAATTTCAGGTTTAACTATTACCAGGCAAACAAATCTTCTCAACTTTCCAGGTTGATCTTAGAATTGATAAATAAGAAAGTTAGACTTACAATTCCTTAACAACCTTTCTTGTTATTTTAATGGTACTGAAGGTTATCATTTCTTCTGGTTCATAATCAGGATTAAGGGTATCGTAGTTTAAGTCAATATACTTTCTCTATTTATCTTACTTGTAAATTGTTGGTTGTAAGTTTACAAGAAATTCCCGATGTGTGAAGAAATAACTAGCTTCAATTGACTCATGATCTCAACTATTAAAATTACTATAATATCCGTGAAAACCTCTTCTGATATTAATCAACGTACGCTCAATAATGACTGGCTTCAAGTGGTATTTCCTGGAGTTTTAGCGAGAAGCAGAGACCAGTGGAGTTCAAATGGATCTGTTGTGATATAGTAACACATTGAAGACAATGGTGGATGTGTCGCTCAATTTCGTGGATTAGTTTAATTTAATCATTAACACCATTGGATGCCGGGTCAATGGTCTAGAGATGAGGCGCGAGACTGATAGGTCCTGGATTCGAATCTCGCGAGGCGGGATTGTAAATGCGTACTGCTGAGAAGTCCCACATTAGAACAAAACGGACATCTAGTGCTTCCACGTTCTCCATGATGGTTTGGCTTCAATTGTTCCATGAATTCAACTATGAAAGTAAACTTTGAATAATTATCTCAATCTGATACCAACAAGGATCCTAGTTTACTGATTGATTTACATTTTTATTACGTAATCATGTAAATAATTAGTCTATTTGAAGTTTTTGGTGATCATGAGAACCTTTAAGTCAAAACCAACTTTATCAACACTTAGGAATTAATAGATTTTACTAATAAATTTTTAAATGTTTCTAGTTGATTTATTCTAGTGTAAATCAAGTTGCCTTTGGATTGATTTTATCAAATTTAAAAAATTTATCAAGTACTTGACTTTAACCTTACTTACTTACATACTTACGCCGGCTACTCACAATGGACCATAGGTCATCGACCAGCATTCTCCAACCAATTCTCTCCTCGGCCTTCCTTTCTAGTTATATCCAAATTTTATTCATTCTTCTCATGTCTGTCTCCGTTTCTCTGCGTAATGAGTTCTTTGGTATTCCTCTCCTCCTCCGACATTCAGGATTCCATGTGAGGGCTAGTTTTGTGACGCAGTTTGATGCTTTCCTCAATGTGTGTCCTATCCACTTTCAGCACTTCTTCCTAATTTCTTCCTTCAAAGGAATCTGGTTACTTTTCTCCCACAGTAGGTTGTTTCTGATATTGTCTGGTCAACGGATCCGTGACATTAACTTACACTATTTGAATAACACTCAATGAAACTTTTTCCCTACTTAAAACCAGAGTTTAGAATCTTAGTGGAAACTTACTTTCTGCTGGATGAAATTCTAAATACTTTCGCTACTGACTGTCTATTTCATTTCGAGTGAAGCAATATCGGTATAAAGTATTTTATTTAAAAAATTAATTATCAGAAGGTGTTTTGTGGAGATTTCAGTATTTTCACAGTTGAAATCATGAGTCAAGTAAAGCTAGACCATCACGGAAAACCTGGAAGCACTGGATGGCCGTTTCATCCTAGTATGGGACTCCTCAGCAGTGCGCATCCACGATCTCGCCTCGTGAAATTCGAACCCATAAAACCTATCAAACTCACCAAAGATCATTTTTAAAATAATCTTTTTTTTCTTTCATATAGTAACCTTCAATGTGAATGTCCTAGAAAACCAAACATTTCTGATATAAAGAAATATCCGTTTTTTGATCTATGCAATCCAATTCCTGGTAAGTGTAATACATGCATATATGTATACTTATATATACATAGAGAAAGATAAACTGCTGGGTCCCAGTCATAATACAAATCTTATTCATGTTATAAATGATTGGCTTATATAGTTCCAACTTGATATGCCCTCCCCCTAGATTATGGATTACCAATGAGATATTAACAAATGATATCAATGGATACTTTAAGTGAGACTTATTTCAAGTAGTCAGTATATATTGATGTGCACTTGTTTCTAGTTTACCTACTAATTCCTGAAACATGAAGTAATAAATATAGATGTCATCACAATAACATTAGTATATGATGCAGCCAAGGTAATCTGAAGGATTGAGCCTAAGAACACCAAGTATCTTGATGAACATTGCAGACTCAGTCTATTTCACGATAGTGTAGTGAACAAGAGTGGGAACACGAGTGGGGAAAATCAAATGTATTTGACAACAAAATTACAGAACATCTAACTAAAATATGATAACTATACAGTAAATAGTTAATTTGCAAACTATCAATCAATTGTCTCAATCTTGACTGTTCCTTCTGCAAATATCGGTCCATCGTCTTCGATAATCATTGTTGATACATTTTCATACTGATTGCGTTCCGTTGCTCTTCTTTCCTTATCGATCATTCTGCTGAAATACATTCTATGGCTGACCATCTTTATGTACTACTTATATGGATATAAGTAACTCACAGCACAATAGTAGATAACTGGTATCCAATGATCAGCTTTTAAATTTAAATTTATGATAGGTAAAGTACAATATGTCAGAATTAAAAAAATATATCCTCTATAGCTATAGTTTCAAAATATTCTAGTATAGTTAAAGTTTGGAATTCGAATTACTGATGCCCAACTCAATGGTCTGTTAGTATCGTATTCACCATAATGATGCTTGAAAAACTCGTGTTTACATAACCATAAGTCAGTGACCTATAATTTCAGTGGTTTATATCCCACTATGGGTTAAATTCATTTGTAAGTTACACTTACCCACCATGCAAAAAGAAATCAGTCGACTAACTAAAACCCCTTTAGGTATAAACATGGTGTTAGTTTCATTAGTAAAGTGTTGGCATGAATATGAGTAACTCCTAAACTGATCTGAAGAAAGTGAAGTTCGCTTTTTTAGCAATGTAGCTACGAATTTCGTCAGAAATTCGCAAAACGTCTGTGTCATATCGTATGGGTGCGTAGTGCCCTGTTTGATATATGAACATGCTGATTCCCTCCGATGAGAGAGGAGCGAATGATCGATCAGAGCAATGATACATAAAATCTGTATGAGCAGTCTTGAGTGCCACTCGGTCTTGCTATCTGCCTAGCCTAGCCCAGCCAGTTAAGTTCAGAACACCAATAACAGCCTCTGCAATATGAATCATTATTCACAAACATACTGGTATTATATACAAACCAAACAGACCACATAGTAACATAAAATAGAAAATAACATTTATACAATAATTGGTCAATGTGGCTGTGAATGTGGGAGGCAGTAGTCAATACACTGATGATAACTCAAGAATGGTAAATCGTATAGTAATAGTATATTGGGTCAAAATAAAGCTCATGATAAGAGAAACACGAATATGAATAGTTTAGTTACGTAACAATTATACAATAGGAAATAGGCATATTACATTGGTCCATAAATAGACCTTAGAGTTACCATTCATAATTCTCTTCAGGATACAACAGTCTGCTTTAACATTTCCACGAAATTCGTCGATGAATTATCAAACTTAATTGCTTAGGCTCTAATGTTGATGTTCTTATATCAGTGAAGTAAGTATTTCAAATGTAGCCATACTATCTTATTGATTCTTGTGTAAACCAATTGGAATACCTAACCCTCAAAATTTGTGTTTCGTCATTATAATCTCAGAAAAATGATCTCGTAAAACGGCTCCGTTTCTCATCCTTAATTAAAATTTCAATTTCAATTCAAATAAGTAATACTAAGTGAACTTAAACTTCACCCCATTGCACAAGCGAGTAGCTATCAGGACTCAGTAGCTGAGTGGATAACGTGATGGCGTTTGAAGCGAAAGTTACTGAGTTCGGGTCCCAGAGTAAACATCAATTCGGTAATGCAGGTACATCCATCTGACGAGAACCAAATACGACAAAACGCGCATCCTGGATTCCACTGCAAGCCACCAACCATCTTTGCTTAAAGTAAATGAAATTATTTTGAAACAGTTCTGTCTATTCTATATATGGCGGTATACTTAAACATATCAGCGACCTGTTCCTGCCATCTAGATATTTCAACAAGTTATTTAATTTTGTTTATTTTACTACATCATTATGGTTATTAATCACATAAGCTATTCAGGGTCTTTAGTAAAAAGTGTAAAACCTTTCATTGTACAAGTTATAAAAGACCCAATCAGAGATGTTTTTATTGCTGGCAATGTGAATTGAAAAGAATAAACATTATTCAAATGTCGATTGACTGGACTGCTAACATCCAACTGGCTACCACTCAATATTTATCGTCATCAACGGTCAAGAAGTAGGAAATGGAAACTTCAGAAGGGGTTTTGTAATGACTTCAGTATTGTCATAGTTGAAATCATTAGTCGATTGAAGCTGAGCAGTTCAACAATAGGACAAAACGGCTGTCCAGTGCTTCCAGGTTTTCCATGGTGGTTTAACTCCAATTGTCTCATGATTTCAATTGTGAAAAAACGGAAATGCCTTGAAATACTTTGTGCTGAGAGTTCTATATTGTACTACAAACATAATATTAGATAAAGCTAATATTGTGATGTGGGCTACATATATCGACATAAGTAGTATATATCATGAGTCAGGAATAGAATATCTTGCAGCAGAAGATTGAGAAGATCGAAAAGACAAGAACAAAAACAGAAAGCGATTGGTATGAAACTCCAGGAACAATGAAACCTGAAACAATTAATGAACATTTTGCAAATGAAGTATCAGAGTATGGTTTTTTCTCTTTTATCAAGGAACTTTGTAATCCATGCTAATAAATGATCGGTTGTCCTCACCTGTGTTCTAATTCACTACAATATTACTACTAATAATAACGGCGCGTTAACTCGTACCAAAAGTCGAAAGTCCTTATCAGTTGTTCTTCCTGACTAGCTCTACCTGTTGAATCCAAAACACTAATCTCAATCCTCAGAAGGGGTTTTGTGGAGACTTCAGTATTTTAATAGTTGAAATCATGAATTGATTGAAGCTAGACAACCATGGAATACCTGGAAGCACTGAACGGCTATTTTGTCCCTCTGTGGGACTCCTCAGCAGTGCGCATCCACGATCCCTCCTCGTAAGATCTCAACTAACTGAAGACAAGTGGTGAACGGTTGTTCAACTTTGTGAATCGGTTGAAGTTGGACATTAACACCAACGGATACCGGCTCAGTGGTCTAGTAGTTAAGTACTCTAGCACGAGACCGACAGGTCCTTGGTTTGAATCTCATGAGGCGGGATCATGGATGCGCACTGCTGAGGAGTCCCACAGCAGGACAAAACGATCTTCCAGTGCTTCCAGGTTTCTCACGATGGTCTAGCTTCAAATGACTCATGATTTCAACTATGAAAATATCAAGTTATACCTTAGTAATTAATTACTTGATTTAAACATTCTTTATATTTTAGTTGATATTGGAGAAGAGTGCAACCATGTGAATAAAGTATGTATAAGTCAAAATGCAATTTGTCATAAAAATTCAATGGATGATTTGAATCAAACACAATTGACAACAAAACGTAATTCAAATATTTGTGTATGTCATGATGGTTGGATACCAGTTTATCAAAGAAATTTAGATTATTTTGAATGTTGTAAGCTAATTATTATTATATGATATGAATTCAACTTTTATTGTTGTTGTGGTGGTGGTTGTTGGAATATCTGATTTTGATTGACATTTGTGAACTCCCCAAAGGATCCAAGTAGATTCAAAGTAATCTTTAATAATAATAAGAATCATTTCATAGTTGAATTCATGGGTCAGTTGAAGCTAGATCATCATGGAAAACCTGGAAGCATTAGACGGCCGTTTCGTCCCATTTTGAGACTCCTCAGCAGTGCGCCTCAACGATCTCGCTCGCGAACGCCCAACCTATAGATCACTAAGCTGGCATCTGACCGTGTTAATGTCCAACTTCAAACAATCTATGAAACTGCACTATCATCCATCATTGTCCTCAGTGGATAACTGCCCGACAATAGTCACGGTTCAACTCTACTGATCACGGCTTCCTACTACAACTCAAGAAAATATCACTTGAAGCCACTCACCAGAAAGAGTGTTTTTGTGGGGATTGTAGTAATTTTTATTATTAGAATTCATCGGTCTGTTAAAGCTAGATCATCGTGGAAAACCCGTAAGTATCAGAGGCCGAAGGCCCTTGATTCGAGTCTCGTGAGTGGTATCATAAATAAGCACTATTGAACAATCCTATACTAAGACGAAATAGTCATCTAGTGCTTCCGGGTTTTCCATGGTGATCTAGTTATGAATTCAACTATTAAATTATTACAATCTTCATGAAACCCCCTTTCCAATAAAACAAAAATTGATCTGAAATCCAAGTTTATTGATTAATCAATAGTATGTAACATCTTATGATTCTCTACTATTAATATTATAAAATGATTATTACTTAGACAATTCATATTAATTGATATGTTATTGCCTAATTTTATTGTTTCTATCCATTGTTTGCTTCATTTAGACAGTTACAATGATACGGAGTAATAATACTAATACTACTAGTATCACTACTACTAATAATAATAATAGTAATATAAAGCCAGTTTGAAATTAAACTGTTTAAATTAGTAAATTACATTGAAAGTAAGTTGATAAGTGGAATCATCAACTTTACACATACAGATGGGGGGTGAATAATGAAAAATTGTTTTTAAATCGATAAATTAAGTTTCTCAATCATCTAGAATTTCTATATTTTTTTTTTAGTGAATAGGAGATTTGATGGATTAGAATTTATTATTGTGTCAAGAGTTATGGTCTTAAGTTAAGTCGATAAGAATTTAATAGACTTATAAAGTCATAATAATGATTGTATCATTCTGTAATTAACATCAATGGAGCATTGACCACCGACTAGTATTCTACAACCCACTATGTCCTCAGCCTTCCTTTCTAGTTCTATCCAATTGTTGTTCATTTTCCTCATGTCTGTCTCCGTTTCTCGGTGCAATGTGTTCTTTGTTCTTCCTCTTCCCCCTTTGACTTTCAGGATTCCATGTGAGGGTTTGTCTTGTGATGCAGTTGGGTGCTTTCCTCAATGTGTGTCTTATCCACTTCCAGCTCTTCTTCCTGATTTCTTCGTCCACTGAAATCTCGTTTATTCTGTCCCAAAGTAGAATGTTGCTGAAAGTGTCTGACCAACGAATCCGATGTATTTTGCGTAGACAACTATTAATAAACACTTGTATCTTCTGGACGATGGCTTTCGTAGTTCTCAACGTCTCCGCCCCATACATTACAACTGTCTTCACATTTGTATTTAAAATTCTGATCTTGGTGTTGTTTGACAGACAATTGTTTTGAGTTCCAGATGATTTTCAATTGTAAATATGCTGCTTTTACTTTGCCAATCCGAGTATAATACTTTACTAATAAAAATGGAAATATCGTAGATACTATTCAAGTTGAAGTTCATTTAAAACTATCTAAGACTGTATATCATTTTGAAGTTTCATACCATGATTATTATCCGATTCATATGTCACTTAAATGTTATATAGGTTATGATACTTGTAAATTATTGGTTTCGTTGTGGAGCTTTCATCTTTCTTCTGAACGACATCATCGGCAGAAACTTCAAGTAGATGTTGTTCAGAAGAACGATCAAAACTTCGCGACGAAACAGTCCAAAGAACAAAACTCCTTCCGAATCATTCACCTGAGCTACAAATCTTCTCCACTATTGTTATAGTGATTGTAGTATTTTATCAACAATTCTTCTAGCTAATGAAGAAAAACTGACTTAAAACTATGCATCATCTATAAATACTAATTTTAGTCATAATGTAGTGAATAAGAACATAAGTGGGAACAATCGAATGTATTTGAATAAAGATTACGGAATCACTCAGTAAAATCTGAGAACCTTACAGTAAATCCTTCATTTGAAAATGTTAATGAATTATCTCACACTTTAATGTTCTTTCGTTTCTAGAAACTATTAATAAGCTATATAAGCTATATTGCTATGTAGAGTTGAAGATCTCATATGAGACTGAAGGTTCGCTAGTGATATTGTGGATGGTTTAGCATTGCTTTGGCAAGTTTGACTGACCGTTCATACGCGGAGTCGGTTTACTGGTTTACCGATTTCATTCATACTGGTGGTTGTATTTCAGAGTTCTGAAGAGCCATTGTCATTGAAACACTGTAAGGCATGTCATCACTGCTGAAATTAAGGAGTTTGACTGTAGTATAAGCGGAATGGGTAAACTTTGGACTGCTCATCCTGTGCATGATTGATTTACGCGATCAATGATCGGAATAATTATATATATGATAAATATGTGTATATTAATCGTGTGAATGATGCACCAGGGTTCTGGGTAACTGTGTGGTTTTGCCATGGGATTGAGCTGTACTATTCAGATTATAGAGTTAAAGCCTATATAGCATCTGGTTCTTCTGTGATATGGGTCAAGCTGCGCTCCTCGGATTATAAAATTTAAACCTGGGTAGTGTCTAGCTCTCCTGCAAGCGGGACTGAATTGTACAGCTAGAGTTAAGCCTGGGTGTTGTATAGATCTCTTGTTAAACAAGACTGAACTATACTCTTTGGATTGTCACATGAAATTCTAGATGATATCCGGTTCTCCTGAAGACCAATATAAAATAACCCTAACCCATACGATTACATTATACAACTATGAAGTTTTTGCTATATCTCTAACTTAGATTCTTAGTATGTCGCGTAATATTTGAGCACTCTAACGCTAGAACCCTCCCAAGTCGCAAAAATGAGAAGACAGAAGACTAGTAAGTAGGAATGTTTTCCCCAGCACATTGTCAAATATAGTACAAAAAATGTCATGTATTTATAGTTTTTTGGCTGAAAGTAAATCATCGTTTTGGATAGTTAATAGACACATAAGGGATCCTTCTTATTCATCCAATAGGGAAGCTACACATCAACATTATAGGATGTCACCCCTAGTTGTGATTGAATAAAATGTCTTCAGGCTTTTCTCAGCTTCTTGAGGTTTCCTTGAGTTTGTCAATGTCACATCCTGAGGCGATTTATGAACGGTAACTTTGAGAACTATTTATGAACCAATGTGATATGTATGTTTTTTATTGTATAATTGCTAAGTAACTGTTCATATTCATGTTTCCGTCATTATGAGCTTTACTTTGACCCATAGACTATTATTACACGATTTACCATTCTTGAGTTATCTCTAATCAATTAAATACTGTTTCCCCGTATTGACAGCCGCATTTGGCCAAATCTTGTAAAAATGTTGTTTCCTATTTTATGGTGCGATGTGGTCAGTTTTGTTTGTATATAAATTAAGTATGTTTGAGAATAATGATTTATATTTGCAGAGGCTGTTATTGATGTTTTGGACTTAACCGGCTGAGCTAGGCAGGAAACAGAACTGATAAGTATTCAAGAATGTTCATACGATTTTTCGTGTATCATAGTTCTGATCGATAACTCACCGCTTTCTGATCGGCGGGGATCTTCACGTTTATATATATTCACTGGACACTCAGGCAATCAACATAACAGTCAACGAGTCATCCTTACACTTAAATATAAGACGTTAATCATATATTTTCTTATTCATTTGTTATTCTCTTTTCTTTTTTTTTCAAAACAAAAAACAAAAAAAAGTTCACGAAATAACTGATCCATCAATTATTGATTGTCATAATTGTTATCAATCAAATCATAAATGTTATCAATTCAATATTGGATCAATCAATAAATTACATAATCAATATCGTTGTACATGTTCATTATTTAAAAAAAATAATCAATGTTTAAGTAGTGATACTAATTGCTTATATCATATAGATATAAATGATGATCCAAATTTTAATCAATTTTTAATGAAAAGAAAAAATATTCAAGTAAACGAACCTTCAACATTGAATAGGAACAAAAATGATTGTATAGAATACTTATGTAAGTTTTCTTTGTTAGTTTTGTTGTTTTAATAGTCAATATAAATGAATTGAACATTGTTTATTATTATTACAAGGGGGAATCAGATATATATACGCCGCACAAATCTCATTCGAAATTTTGTGAGGACTGTGATACTGCTCAGGTACCCAAACTGTAGCAGGTGGTTTCCTTAGGAGGCCACAACCCGAGCCTTTGACTTAAAGGTCTGATCTACAATGCAGTGGGGCATCGTGAAGAGAAGATGCAGTCCCATGGTAGTCGGTGACCAACGATTGATTCATACGCCATTCGTTCCATCAGGATCCTAGAGTCCATGTGCATCATTGGTTTGAAATCAGGGTTTTCCAACTCCTCTAGGTGAACTCTCAGTGTTCACCAACCCGGTTAAGGCGATAGACATTCGCTTTTCGTCCTCTGAATTTCGTAAACAACACCCCGGTCACGAGAAGGCAGTGAGTAGAACATCCCTGGTAGAGGCTATATACGCGTGGCCATTTGAGAGCATTTGGAGAGGAAGAGCGGACTCTCCCCACTCTCGGCCGTACCAGGGCATTTTGGAGGCAATTGAACATTCAATGAAGTATAGATCATTAATTAGCTTATTACTAGTAAGTTCAATCGATATTGTTTTCTTTGAATGTTCTCATTGATGTTTAGGACTACAATTGATCAGTCTCTTATTGACATATGTGCATCTTGTGCGGACTGCCTTGACATTTTTTTAAGTCACAATCATTGTAAGCAACGATGGATAGTGGTTAGTAGAGGAATGCAGGACGTAGGTTTCTTCCTATTGGAACTCAGTTGTTAAGTGGATAATGTGATGGCAATTGAATCGAACGGTACTGGTTTCCACTCCCGTAGTGAATATCAACTATGAGATACATGTATATCCATGTGAGAAGTGGCAAATAGAACTAAAACGAGCATCCTGTATTCCATTGCTAGCCACTATCCATCTTTGCTTAGTCATATACTCATATAATGTAAATGCTTTCTAGTTGTAGGTAGACAATTGTTTATAAATAAATGTTGATTTTTGACGATGGCTGTCCTAATTCATCAGGTTTCATCTCGGTACAGTATAACTGTCTTGACGTTCGTACTGAAGATTGTGACTTTGATATTTGTTGACATATGTTCTTCAATTATAATAATGTCGTCCTTGCTTTGCCGATCCTCTTATTTACGTCTGTATCGGATCCTCCACGTTCATCGATGATGCTACTCAAATACGTGAAAGATTGCACCTGTTCCAGAGCATCTGCAACAAAAACAGACCAATAGTCTAGTAGTATATTGAAGAATAATTAATGTTTCATTTCCTATCTGAAACCCAACCATTAGTTCAGATAATTCTCCCTATCCACTAAGATTATCTACCCTCTGTAACATTTCTGTTTATTTTGGAATCTCGAAGCATTCACAAAAAAGAATTATATGGATACGATGAAATTTGAAATAAAGAACAATGGAATATTTGAACAGCCACATGTTCGAATAATTCTAAAAGTATTTTAAACAACAGTTGAGATCATGAATCAATTGAAGCTAGACCACCATGGAAAACCTGGAAGCACTGGACGTCCGTTTCGTCTTATTGTAGGACTCCTCCTAGTCACGATCCCGCCTCACGAAATGCGGACTTAGGACCTACCGGTCTCGCGCGCGAACGCTTAACTTCTGAACCACTGAGCCGGCATCCAATGGTGTTAATGTCTAACTTCAACCAATCCACTAAATTGAGTGACACATCCATCATTGTCTTCATTTAGTTACTATCTCATTATCTTAACTATTAAAATGAAAATGAAATGCTTAAGTTCATAAGTCAATTTAAGCTAAATCACCATTACTACTGAATAGCACAGTGTTTCTACGAGTTTCCATGATGGTCTAGTTTTATAATCATAATTCAAGTATTGATTGAACTAGATTACATAGCAAATGAAATTCTCATGCAGATTTTCTTTTTATCTGTAATCATAATGATGAACTGGGGAAAAAAACAGAAAAAAACAATCAACATTTTTATATTCACTTGGTGTTGTTTACATGTATCTTCTCCTTGTTATTTAAGACCAGTCTCTTATTGGCCATATATGCATACTGTGCGTATTGCCTCGATATAGTCTTAATTTACAAGCATTATAAGCAAAGATAGGTAGTAGCTAGCAGTGGAATCCAGGACGCACATTTCGTCCTATTTAAGACTCGTCAACTGGTTGTACCTTCATCTCATAGTTAATATTCACTCTGTGACTCAAACCCAGTACAGTTCGCTTCAAACGTCATTATATTATCCACTTAGCTAATGAGTCGTGATAGCCACAAGCTTGTGAAATGGAATGAAATTATATTCACTTATTATTGTTTACTTATAATTTCTCATGAATGTTTACAACTGCAATTGATCAATCTCTGATTGATATATGTGAATTTTGTATTCGAGTGTCGGAGTTAATATCAACTCTCAGATACAGGTATATCCATCTAATGACTCCCATATAGGACAAAACACGCATTAAACTAGATTTCACTACTAACCACTATCCATCTTTACTTGTAATCATCCTGTTTTTTTTTCTCTTTTTTTACTCTTTTCTTTATTTTCTTTTTCTTTTTTTTTCTTTTTTTTTTCTTCTTAGTACATATTACATGTAATCAACAAATTATTCATATTTGTTTCAATAATCCATATCCAAAATCAATAATCAATTATAATAAATTAAACAGTGATTTCATTTATTTAAAAAAATCAATAAATTTTCCAAAATTTATTAAAAATTTATTTAATTATTCAATTAATAATAAAAAATGTTATTTAATCAATAATTATAATCATAATCAATATTGTTTAATATTAAATATTCAATTTAATAAATTAAAACAATGTGGAATTTATGAAATTAATTATAAAGTAAGAAAAATTAATTTTTTTTGTATAATTTTTATATATACTACTTATAATGATACTTAATATTTTTGAATGGTTGAATTTTTTTGTATTGATGATTAGAATCTATAATGGATCAGTCACTTATTTGAATATGTATATACTTACTTATACCTGTGATTCACAATGTAGCATAAAACAACGATCAACATTCTCTAACTTACTCTGTCCTCGGCTTTTCTTTCTAGTTCTATCCAACTTTTGTTCATTCTACTCATATCTATCTCTATTTCTCAGCGTAATGTGTTATTTGGTTTTCCTTTTCCCTCTTTTGAATTTCGGGATATTATGTGAGGGCTTGTTTTGTGACTCAGTTGACTGGTTTCTTCAATGTGTATCCTATCCACTTCCATCTAGCACTTCTTCGAGATTTTTTCTTACACTGAAATCTGGTTTGTTCTCTCCCACAGTAGGTTGTTGCTAATAGTGTTTGACTAACGAATTCGAAGTATTTTGCGTAGACAACTGTTACTAAACATCTGTATTTCCTAAATGATGGTTGTAGTAGTTATCTACGTTTTCGTCCCATACAATACAACTGTCTTGACATTTGTATTGAAAACTCTGACTTTGGTGTTGGTTGACAAATAGTTGTTTTGAGTTCCAGATGTTCTTCAGTTATAAATATGCTGCTCTTTCTTTACTGATATGCACCTGCATATTTGTATTAGATCCACCTTGTTCATCAATGTTGCTACCCAGATATGTGAAGGTTTTTATATCCTCCAAAGCTTCTCAGTCAAGTGTGATTCAATTGGTGAGTGTTGTATTGTTTCGGATAGTCCTGCTTTTCCCTTTGTTTATATTGAGACCTACTGCTGCTGAGGCTGCTGCTACACTGGTCGTTTTCTCCTGTATTTGTTGTTGCGTTTGCGATAGAAGAACCAAATCATCTGCGAAGTCTAAACCGTTCAACTGCATCCAAGCTGTCCATTGTATCCCGTGCTTCCTTCCAGATGTGTATACTGTGTGTGTTGTCTCGATATTGTCTTAAATTATAAGCATTTTAAGCAAAGATGGATAGTGCCTAGTATTAGAATGCAGGACTTACGTTTCGTCTTATTTGGGACTCTTAAGCTAGATGTATCTGCATCCAACAGTTGATTTTCACTCCATGGCTACCACCTAATACCGTTCGCTTGAAATGACATCCACTCAGCAACTGATTACTCATGGCCACCAGCTTGTGCAATGTGATCAAGCTTAAATTCATTTTGTATTGTTTATTTGAATGTTCTCATTGATGTTTAGAATTGCAGTTGATCAATCTGTTATTGACATATGTGTATGGTGTACGAATCGCCTCGATAAATTTCTTCTGTATACATAGTTCCAGTTTTTATCATATGCACGGTAAATGAAAGTTGTTCCTTTGGGTTGTTACTGAAAATTGATCGGCTGGACAATACTAAACGCCAGGTTTCTGAGTGAGAGTCAGAGATTCTTCCCTCTAAGTTGTCAATAGTTTCGTTACCGTTGAAATCAATGTTTATAAAAATTATCGTCGTATATGCGGAGAATATTAGTATCTATGATGGTCTTTATTTAATATTCTTGTTAACAAATCTCAGTAGATACCCATTTTCAACAGGTATGTTTTCTTATGAGATTAGATTCATAATCTGTGAAATTCGGAGTACAAGTTATTCACACTGACAGATATGACTAAATTTTTTCTTCTACTAAAAAGAGGCAGCTGTGTAAGCTTGATAACCAGCTGTTTCATGATAGTATTCTATAAATCTCTTGAGAGTCCCAACGGATTTTCTCGTTATTTCAACATCAAGAAACTGGATACTTTGGTTGTTTTTACGTTCAATTATGAATTTCATTGACAGATAACAGTTGTCAAGTGCCTGTAGAGTATGATTCAAATCTTATTTATTATCATAAAGCATAAAAGAGTCATTGTAAATGAACAACTATTCTACTGAGCAGTTATTATACTGGATTAACAGTGTACGTAATGTTGAATAATAATTACACTAAGTTAAAAAGTGTGATCTCACTTTTCGTATTTCATCCTAATAATCTTAACTTTCTTTTTCATATTTTTGTAGTATGGAACTGTATTTTATGGAACATTACATGCTGAAACTACACAAAGTGAGATTTCATTATTGAGAAACATTCACATTGATTTTGCTTGTCATATTAATGTTTCTCATTTGAATGGATCTAATCTATCTACTTCATACTTCTATGATAGGTAAACCAATTATACATATATATATATATATATGTTGATAAGATTTAATAAGATATAATGTCTGTATTTGTTTAGTGATTTGAATTTTTATTCCTAATTTCAGTACATCGTTTCCAATAGACCAATTAAAACATAACTCCACTTTTATTTTATTCATTTGTACTACTTACTAATAATAAAGTAGTCTAAATAATAATGACAATTTTTTGCAGCTTATTTATGAAAGTAGTTTAATTCCTTTGATTAAAACGAACCACTTACATTCCGACTTCAATGTTGAGCTTCATTTTTCAATTTGTAACAATGTTTCCAAATCTTCCAAATATTCATTTATTTGTGGGCAATGTACTTGATATGCTTAATGCTATTACGAGTTCACCTTATTCGGTAAACAGCACGAAGGTCACTGACACAGTGGCACGATAGGTTATTCTAATCCGTTGTCTCCGACCCTTCTGACTAGATCAAGAAGTCTTGAGGCATAGAGAATGTATTCTTTAAGCACACAGAAAATAAGAGGTCACTAAGCATACAAATCAAGCTTATTTATACAATGATAAAAACGCCCTTGGAAGAGCCACAAAATAGCGTACTAAAAAAACGGTCAATCAATCACAGTCAAGGAATTCTGAGTGGGAAATGTAAGCTGTAGGTCAACTAAGCGTCTCTTGGCGCGAAAACATAAAATTCAAATTTTCAGGATAAAATTACAAAATTAAAACCTTTTCCAAATGTGTTCTGGGGATCTAACGTCCCCAAATGTAATCTACGAAAGTTTATCTTCAAATGTTATGCCTACTATAGATAGGCTGTTTTATTTGCTGTCTTTGTTCATGCAACTATGTATCGGTATGTGTTTCATCGACACACATTACTTTAAATTTTACTGTTAATTTTGTAAATGAAGCCAATACAAACAGACCGATCCCTTATCTTGCATAAGGAACTTCTCAGTAGTAATTTGGTCATTTGGTTGGAAACCATGCACCACTCGACAATGTGTACGAAACAGAGTTTGTTAACAAAGACCATTTCGAATAATCTAGATTGCATATAACCAACTGTCATTTAGTCTTCTGTATGTAGATTTTATGTGACTAGCAAGTTCATCTCATTAATGAATCAGTTCCTCTTTACGTCAACACAGGGATATTAGAAACAGTTCAGATCTTACTGATAGGTCCTGCGTTTGAAACTCACGGTGCGGGATCGTGGATGTGCAAAGGTGAGAAGTCTCACAATAGTACAAAATGGTTTTCCAGTGCTTCCAGGTTCTTCATGGTAGTTTAGCTTCAATTGACTCATGATTTCAACTATACAAAATTACTAAAATCTCCACAAAATCCCCTTCGGATAATGATCATATGCTCAATAGTGACTGGCTTCAAGAGATATTTTCATGGAGTTCTAGTGAGAAGCCGTAACCATTGGAGTTCAACCAGGTCTGTTAGGAGATATCAACTCATTGATGAAATTGGTGATTGGTTGCTCAATTTCATGTATTCGTTGAATTTAGACATTAACACCGTTGATTGACCTCTCAGTGGTATAGAGATTAATCGCTTGCGCGCGAGACTGATAGATCCTGTTTTCGAATCTCGCGAGTGCAGGTTCGTGGATGTATACTGGTGAGGAGTCCCAAAATAGAACAAAATGACCTTCCAGTGTTTTCAGGTTTTCCATGATAGTCTTGCCTCAATTAACTCATGATTTCAACTAATAAAATCTTTCTTTTAACAAATGTTAAAATATTAATAATCTTCTAATTCTCTTTTTCTTTTATTCTTAAAGATCAATCAACTTGGAAAAAACAACTAATTCATTGATTTTATCACAAAAATTATCGGAAATCAATAATTTTCATTCAACAAATGATATTGAAAAAGTTACTTTGCAAAAAGAAAAGATACAAAATATTGATTCTAGTTTAATATCATTATCTATTATTAATTTAACTAAGAATATTTCACAAAATTATGAAATGATATTAAAAATTTCTTCAACTATATCTGGTAAGAATTATGTTTTCTAGTGAGAGTTGTTTTATCGAGTTAGTTTTCTAGGGGATTGGATAGATAACGCCATGCCCAACCCTTCTTCTTTAACCAGGATTTGAGGTCCGTAGTAACCTTTGAAGGAGCTACAGATGGAGTTAAATCTATTCAATTAATTATTTTTTTTTTATGGGTTTTCTTTAGCGAGTTAGTTTTCTACGGAGTGGGTTCTTTAACCCCGGGGCCTGGAACCGATAGTAACCCCCGGAGGAGCTACAATTGGAGTTAAATGTAGATGTACTTTTTTAATTATTTGCAACGATTTCATTAATAATTAGATTCTAGGGAGATATTTTGTTCATCGTTTTTCTTGAATTGGTACACTCAAATGTTAATCATTGTAATTCCTCGGTAATGGACTCGGTGACTAGTTTTACTATCCTCTGGAATAGTACTTAGATATTAGGTGAATTTAAAGGATTTTTTTCTGGTCAAATATAGTTATTAGCAAGTTGTACTAAATGAATAGATTATTCATTTTGCCAAGGTCATGTTTATCTCAACGGTAATTGGACATTCTCATAAATATACATTATTTGTTAGTATATCCATTTGATATTAGAAATTACCATCTATATTTTACTTTTATAAATTACTGAATTAGAATGAAAATGATAATGTTGAATTATTCCATGGTCTATTGTTTCCATGACGATCTTGTTTAAAAGGTTAAGATAAATTCATTTGGTATTGTTTTGATTGAATCTTTCCATTGATGTTTAGAACTGCAATTGATCAGTCTCTTATTGACTTATGTGCATACTGTGTGTATTGCATCAATATTGTCTTAAGTCGCAATTATTATAAGCAATAATGGATAGTGGCTAGCGATGGAATCCTGTTTGACTAGTGTTTCGTTCTATTTGGAACTCGTTAGCTGGATGTACCTGCATCTGAGAGTTAATATTCACTCTAAGACTCAAATCCAGTACCGTTTGCTTCCAACGCGTGTCCTACATTCCACTTCTAGGCACTATCCATCTTTAATAACAAAACTACTTCAATATTTTTCGGAATACTTAAGGTCTATGTAATATAATATATTAAGCAAAGCTTTAATCATAGATTAATAACATTTCATTCAAGATCTTATGAATGAAAGGTTTAAGGGGAAAATTCTTCAATCTATTATAAGTTACACAACAATGATCACGTGATTATGATGAATATCAAGAAGAATGTATAGTGATCTATAAATCGATATTTTATTGTAATGGACAATATTATCAATATTATATGCCATCTAGAAGAGTTTCCAAGTTATAAATGGGATTACATAATATGACAATAACAAAGCAACAACTCTCAAGAACATTAATCCATCATTATTTCTTTTTATAAATTTAGATTATGTTCTTTATAGATTGGTGTTGTGAATTTAAGCCCGACATTTTATCACGTGATTTATCCACCAATCCGAATACGACCTTTTCCCAATCTTAGCACTGTGCCAAAACAATAACGTTCGATCAGTATGAGCAGCCTAGCATCCTTATTGTGTTTTTTTGTCCGCCTAACCCTTTCAATTAAGTCCAGAACATCAATAATAGCTTTTGCTATGAGAATCATTTATTTCAGATATACTGGGTTTATATATCAACCAAACAGACCGCAACGTACCACAAAATGTGGAATAACATTTATAAACAATAAAGCTGAAAAGTGACTGTGAACGTGGGTGACAGTGATCAATAAACTGAAACAGTAAATCGTATAATAATAATTTATAGGTCAAAATGAAGCTCATAATAAGATGAATATAGATATATACAATTCAACGACTTTACAGTTGATTAGTCTTTCGATAATAGGTATCAGATAAAATTAGGATGTATGTTTTGATCGACTTAGAATTTATCAACTGAATTCTCCTGATAATCATTACTCAGAGGCTATGTTATTTATTTATTTAAACACATAAATATTGGTATAAGGAAGCACCAGATATATATGCGCCATACAAATCTCATTTGATTTGTGTGAGGGCTGTGATACTGCCCAGGTGCCCAAACTGAAGCAGGTATAAGTATGTTCCGCCCGGGATACGATCCGTGATCCCGGTTCAGACTGGTGCCACGATCCAACTCCTTAAATAAAGGAGCAAATGGACAACCCTAGAGGCTATGTAGGAAACCCGGTATGCACTTTGGGTGATGGATTTTAGAGTAAAGTCTGCAGTGTAATACAAATATTAGAATCTGAATTCTTTCATCTAATTAGTCACAATATATATCCTAAATTTCACTACTGATTATAATCAGATAACACAATCACGTTGCAAGATGTAAGTAACATCAATGTATCTGTTCAAAAGAACCTCTGTATCAACAAAGATATCAAATTCAGTTATGAATCTTAAGAATGGAGGAAAACAAACTTTGTATGAATGGCTATTTCAAATTGTAGTGAACAAGAACACAAGTGATAACTATCGAATGTATTTGACCACAAACTTACAAAATATCTCACTAAAATCTGACAATCATACATTAAATAGTTAATTTACAAACTATCAGCCCATTGTCTCAATGTTGACTGTTCCTTCTGTAAATATCAATTCATCATATCTGACTATAAATGTTCATGCATTTTCATATCAACCGCATTACGTTTTTGTTCTTTCTTTATTAAACCTCTACTGAAATACATTGTTTGCCTGACCATCATTATATATTACTTATATATATAAACAAAGGGAAAAGCAAGACTCTCCGATACAATACAATATGCACCAATCAAATTACACTTGACGGAGAAGCTTTAGAAGATGTGGAAACCTTTACATATCTGGGCAGCATCATTGATGAACACGGTGGATCAGATGCAGATGTGAGGGCGAGGATCGGCAAAGCAAGAGCAGCATACCTACGACTGAAAAGCATCTGCAGCTCAAAACAATTGTCAACCAACACCAAGGTTAGAATTTTCAATACAAATGTCAAGACAGTTCTACTGTATGGGGCAGAGACGTGGAGAACTAAGAAAGCCATTATCCAGAAGATACAAGTGTTCATCAACAGCTGTCGACGCAAAATACTTCGGATCCGATGGCCAGACACTATCAGCAATAAGTTACTGTGGGAGACAACAAACCAGATTCCAGCAGAGGAAGAAATCAGGAAGAAGCGCTGGAAGTGGATTGGGCACACCTTGAGGAAATCAGCTAATTGCGTCATAAGACAAGCCCTCACATGGAATCCTGAAGGTCAAAAGAGAATAGCAAGACCAAAGAACACATTACGCCGAGAAATAGAGACAGACATGAGAAGAATGAACAAAAACTGGATAGAACTAGAAAAGGAAGCCCAGGACAGAGTGGATTGGAGAATGCTGGTCGGCGGCCTATACTCCATTGGGAGTAACAGGCGTAAGTAAGTAAGTATATGGATATAAGTAACTCACATCATCAAATGACTTCAAATCTATCATGAATAGCTTTACTAATTAAAAAAAACAAACGGTAACAATACCTTATGTTGGGGATGCCAAATCCCCAGAACTTACTTGGTAAATGGCTTAGTTTTGTAATTTTATTTTGAAAATTTGAATTTAGCTGTTTTCGCGCCAGAAGCGCTCTTTTTACCTTGACGTCATATTTCCCACTTGTAAACTATCTTAAACGCTATTGGTCCATTGTTTCTTTATGTGTGCTATTTACTAATGATGCTCAAGGACAATCTGTTACTGTATAAATACGCTTGACTTTTTCCCTTATTTGATTACTGTGCTTCTGGCTGCTACGGAATATAACTTCCCCGCTCCAACTTGGACTTCTTACTCTAGTTAGCTGGGTCTGGGTCGCGTCAGTATAGCTAGTTATTGGTCTCTGATCACGTGTCTTTGTTCCGTTTCGTTACTAGTGAATTCGTAACCCTTCAGATATAACACCTTATTTGTTAAATGTTTCCTTCTCTTTTTTTTTTCTAAAATTTATTTAGAATTCATATTAATAGAATATTGTTTAATCAATGGTCAATCAATTCCTTCCAAGATACAACCAACTTATGAATATGAAAAACTCTTAGATTTAAAGTATGTACAGTATGTTGAAACAAACAATAAGTTTAAACAAATAAATTTGTGATATTTTGTTTTAAATCTTACAATAACTAACACGTTTTTATATCAGTCTACTTTTCTTTTTTGAGGTTAGTAATATTGAAGGAAATGAAATCTATTTATCAATGACTTTAGAGTTGATCAAATAATATCATAACTTATGGCTGAGTGGATACCATGTTAATGGATAATGTGATTAGACTGCCAATCAGAGAGCAACAATTTATCGAACGAACTAAATGACACATGGAAACCATATGCGCAGTGTAGAGTAGTTATCTGTCCTGCTTCTACATAGCCCAGTCAGTTAAGTTCAAAACAACCTCTGCTGTATGAATCATTACATTTCAAACATACTGAGTTTATATTACAACCAGACAAACTACATATAACCTTACAAATACATTTGGTTTCTGCACATTGTTTATCGATTGAAGTAAATTTTTTAGACGTAACACTTTAAGGATCTATTCGGAAATGAGTTACTAGTGTAGTGTGGGCTACTGATGTCGACAGATATAAGTAGTATGTATCACTAATTGAAAGAGAAATGCCTAACGACAGACGGTTAAGAACACCAAAGAACGAGAACAAAGAATTATTAGTGTAGAAACGAAGGGACAATCAAATCTGAGACGATTGATCGATATTTTTGAAAATAAAGTATTCACTGTGTATAGTTCTTAGATTTTCTGTAATGTTGTTGTTATAACGATCCATTTTCCTTGTTATATGTGAATGAGACGTTAATTTACCTTAGACGAATATCTACACTAGATTCGCTCCCAGTGTCTACTCTACAAGATTTCAACATAACTAAGATCAAGAACATGTGATTAGCCTGATAAGAACGTAAATATATTTCCACACACAAACGCGACACAATACAATAATAATAAACAATCAATCAATAATAATAAATAATAAGGATAGGGGAATATATAACCCATCTAACACCAGTCAGACTATCTACAAGTCTGACTAAGCACACTTACTTACGCCTTTTACTTCCAATGGAGCATAAGACGGCGATCATACCATGTTGAAAGCACCGGTTCTCCTTCGATTAAGCAGACAACTAATCATTGTCATTCTCACCCATATATAAGTTGTGTTCAATTACATGAAGTTGTCCCCACATGTATTCTCGTTCGGTACATTGGATATCTCTGCCAACTACACTAATGATGAAATAACTTTAGTAAATATATACAGCAAGTTTTCAATACTTTTGTATACAATGTTCAAAATACAATACCTCTTGTTGGTTTCTTAAAAGCACCGGTTCTTGTCTGACTAAGCAGACAGACAATACATTTAATTGTCTCCACATATGTTGTCTATCGGTACATTTGGTATCTATGCCAACTAAAATGTAATTCCTCTTGTTGGTTTCTTGATAAACATTAACTGGTTCCCTTTTCTTTTCCCATTAGATGTTTCAATACAAACATTCATAGAATTAAACGAATCATTGATCTCTTCAGGAATCTACCAGAATATCAATGTATCTTATTTAAACAAATCATACATCATCGGACATCTAATAATAATAATCATTCAATATGGATAAGTCAACCATTTCATTTAAAAAATGTCTCATTATATAATAGTGTATATTCTACTTGTCTTATACGTATTTGTCAAATAGAACAATTTTGTACATATGTAAGTGATAAAAATTGCATTTTGGGAAATATTTTGTGCAGAAAGTGGGTTTCTTAGGAAATTTGTAGTAATTTAATCGTTGAATTCATATTGGAAAACTTGGAAGTACTAGGAGATCGTTTCGTCCTAGTATGAGACTCCTCAGTAGTGCAAGTCCACAATCTTGCTAGAATGATTAGAACTTAGTGCTTTCAGTAAATAATATATTTTCAATATCTCAATGAGTAGAAAAATAAGATTTTCTGACTTTTCGTGACTCAGTGTAAGTCACTTCTTCAGGAAAAACTAAAAGAACAAAAGAATATAATTAGCATCTTACAATTTAATAATTTTCCTATGAAGATTATTAGAAGTATATTAAAATAAGACAGTTCAGCACGTAATAATAATAATAACAATAATTCGAATGAAATGCCATGGATTGGTACTGAGGTTTTACCATACCGTCATAGGCACAACTGAAGAACTCCAAAGAATCTTAAAACAACACAGAATTAAAGTATATTACAAAACAACGAACACTCTTCGAAATACTTTAGTTCGATCAAAAGAAAAGATACCATTCATGTCTACACAGAACTGCGTCTACAAATTAGGTTGTGTCGACTGTGATGCATTCTATATTGGAGAGTCATCTCGCGAAATCTTAACTCGCACCAAACAACATATCAGGTACACAATGAAACCTCCTAATAATCCTGTAGAACTAGATAGACTTCAAATTAAATCGGCATTAGCGGTCCATGCCATTTTCAATAATCATCAAATTGATTTCAAAAACATCAAAATACTACAGAAAGGTTTTTGCAATTACAAAGAAAGAAGAGTAGCTGAAGCTTTCCATATAATGCTTAATCCCACAGCTTTCAATAGAAAAGAAGGCCTTACCATATATCCTACTTGGACTATCTATCCTATTCGCCTAGTCTGATATTATTTACAATTTCACACCATTACATAACAAATTAAACTCTACCCTTTGTCATTATAAAGGTAACACATTTTTCATCATTTACAGTGGACACATACAAACAAAATTACATACATGTCGCTTATGAATCACCTTGACCGCAATAAAATGACTTGACATTGATTTATTCAGACCTGTTTTGGATTGTTCCGTTGTACTATTTAAACTTGAATTAATGTGAATTTGGTTATTTATTCTCTGAAGAAGTGGCTTACACTGAGTCACGAAACGTCAAAAAATCTTAATTTTTCTACTCATTGGGATATTACAAATATATTACTACTTATTTATAACAATCTACCCGATGTTCAATTTATTCAAAATTATCAGATCAAAACTTGGTAATGATACCTACTTAGTGCTTTTAGGTTTTCCATGATGATCTAGATTCAATCGACTCATGAATTCAACTATTATATTGCTACAATCTTTACAAAAACCCCCCTTTCTGATAATCACCATGATGTGCTCACTAGTGACTGGTTTCAAGAGATATTTCCTGGAGTTGTAGTGAGAATCCGTGACCGGTGGAGTTGAACATTGTCTTTTGTGAGGTAGTTACTGAATGAAGACAATGGTGGACGATGGCGCAATATCGTGGATTGGTTGAAATCGGACATTAACACTGTTGGGTTGTGGTCTGAGTAGTGTGCTACTTAAGCGTTCGCACGTGAGACCTAATGTCATGTTTTCGAGTTGCACGTGAAGTATTAACGAGGCACACTACGCCCCAGTCCCATATTAGGGAGAAATGGCCATTGAATGCTTTATTATATTTCATCGATAATCTGATCTATCATTTTTTGCATGAAAATTTTCAACAGTCAACATGATAACATTCTGCGAAAATATCAACAACAGTAATGTAGTCCGAAAAATTTGATTGCACGATAGTTGTCAGCTATCAAATTCAAATTGAACATAACTTGATATATGAATACATCCTTAATGCTTACTTACTAACCTATGCTTGTTACTGTTCATGGGATCATAGGGCGCGGTTTAGGATTATCCAATAACCTGTGTCCTGATCACCGATCCCTGTTTTTATTTGTTATATTCATTCAATTGACATCTGCTTCTGATTGTTGACGCAATCTGTGCTTTGATCAACAAATTCTCTTTATATCATTAGAATTCCATTCTGAGGCTTGTCTCATAATGCAGTTTGATGATTCCCAAAATGTATGTCCTATCCGCCCCCAGCATTCATTTCTCATTTCCTCTCCAGATGGAAACTCACTTGTTCTCTCCCACTGTAAGTTGTTGTTGTTGGTATCCGACCAACGGACATTAAGTATCTTCCGTAGACAATTGTTTGGAAATAGGTGTACATTTCTGACGATGGTTGCAGTAGTCCTCAAAGTGTCAGCTCCGTACAATAGAACTAAATGTTATGACGTTCATATTGCAAATCCTGACTTTGCTGTTGATCAACGGTTGTTTCGAGTTTCATATGTTCTTCAATTGTAGGGATGCTGCACTTGATTTACCGACCCGTACCTTCACATTTGCATCAGTTACTCCTTGTTTATTGATGATGCTGACCAGGTACATAGAACTTTCCACCTCCTCCAGAGTTTCTCCTTCAAGTATGATTACGTTGATGATCTCTGTGTTGTATTTCAAGATCTTGCTCGTCCTTCGTTGATGAGTATTGTCACATATGGGATAGAAGAGCAAGATTATCTGTGAAGTCCAAATGGTCTAGCTGCATCTAAGCTGTCGACTGTATTCCGTGTTTCCTCTCAGATGTATCGGTCTTTACAATCCAGTCGAACACCAGAGGGAATAGAAAGAGTGAGAATAAGCAGCCTTGTCTGACACCAGTCTTCACTTAGAGTGCATTTTTCAGCACGACTTTGCACTGTAGTTCGTCGTATGAATTCCGATCTTCTGAGGTACATCATAGTGTCGAAGAAGGTTCCATAATGTTCTCCTATCTACACTATCAAAGGCTTTCTTATAATCAAGGAAGTTGACGTATAGTGACAAATTCTATTCACTTGATTGCACAACAGTGGTATGTAGTGTCATGCATCGATCTGTATATGACTGATCCTTACAGAATTCAACCCGTCGATCTCGAATTTGAGCGTCTATTGAGTCTCTTATCAAGCTCAACGATAATACTGAAAACTTCTTCCTGTACTGATAGTAGTGTGATGCCTCTGTAACTCATACACTTCCTGAGATCTCCATTCTATGGAATCTTGACGAGATATTTAATTATTCAGTTTATAGGTAATTGTTATTCCTTTCAAATCTCACTGAATAGAATGTGGAGCATCTTCTCAGCTACTTCTTTGTCTAACTTAGTGTTTCAGTTGATATAATGTCTGGTCCTGCTACTCCACTAATCCTCGTGTGTCTGAAAGCTAAGCTGATTTTTTGAATTAGTAGTGTAGTGACACCTATAGGAAGGTCTGTATATGTCGCTTTGGTGTCTAGTGGCACTGGTCTATTAAAGAATTCTTCAAAGTGCTCTACCCACCTGTCTCACTGATTGGCCTGCCTTCTTTGTTCTTGATTGGTCGCACTGGTTTACCATATTTCTCTGCTATCTTCTTCGCCGCATCATAGTCACTTCCCTTGAAGCTTTTTCTGCTGTCAGTGCTAGGTCTTGCATGTATTTCCACTTATTAGCTCCGATGTCTCTCTTCACCAGCTCGTTCCCTTCTATGTACTCTACTTGTCCCTTGACTCTCTTTGCTCTTTTTCGGTTGTTTTTGGTTTGTGTCTTCTCGTTCTTTATTTCTTGAATCTTGCCCGAAGTATCAATGGAGATTCATTCCTTACGATGATGCTTCTTTCGAACCAGCACATCCTAACATGTTGAAGTTAATGCCTCTTAAATCCCTTTTCAGTTGTTCTTCGTAGTAAGTTCCTCTCATGTGAATGAATCTGGTGGGTCTTTAAACCAGTCGTTGAGAGCTACATTGAATCCGTCAAGTTTGTCAGTATCTTAAATAAAGGCTGTATCAAACTTTTGTAGTGCTGTTTGTCCAGTTGTCCAGAGATTCTTAAGTACCAGTTTCATCTTGATTATCACCAGGTGATGGTATGAAGCCATATCAGTTCCTCTCTTACTTCTAACGCCTGCCATTGTCCTTCTGAATTTTTTAGTGATGCGAATATGAACTATCTAATTCTCTCTAGTGTGAGCTGGCGAGACGCATATAGCTTCGTGTGTGAGTTTGTAGGGGAATATGAGGCCACCTATAACCATTTAGTTAAAGACACAAACTTACAAATCTCTCGCCATTTTCGTTCCTTTCTCCCAGACCATGTCGTCTTATGATAACTTCATACCCGATATTCTTCACTCCGGCATAGGGGTTTAGGATGGTAAGGTCCTTTTCTGGGCACTTCTCGACCGCAACCTCCCATAAAACTAATTTCTATCGTCTTCGTTGCTATGATTAGTGAGACAGTTGATTGTTATTTTGCAAATTAACTGTTTACTGTATGTTTATCAGATTTTAGTGAGATAGTCTGTAATTTGTGCTTAAATATATTTGATGTTCACCACTTGTGTTCTGTTCATTACACCACGATCCCTCCCCACGGGATCCCAACCCAAAATCCATCGGTCTCGCGTGTGAACACTTAATCCCTAAACCATTGACCCGGCATCCAACGATGTTAATGTCTAACTTCAACCAATCCACGAAAGTGAACCACCATCCATTTACTTCAATAACAAATATTTATCATTTCAGTATCCAACAAATGATACATAATTGTTTCTTTTTTTACAGGCTGAATTTTATTCATTCAATAGAACAGATAAACAATACAATGATCAATCTATACAATCTAAAGTGTATATACCATTGATCATGTTGAATAATAACAATAATGATAGAAATAAAACTAACTTAGCTCATTTATTCCCACCAATCAATTTCAATAATTTAATACAATTTCACTTTATTCAATCTAAATTGAAACTGAATCAAACTAATATGAACATACAATTGAATGATCCTATTGATGTATATTCTAAACATATAACTATAAGTAAGTTTATTTGAATCTTCCCATTGATGTTTAGGACTGCAATTGATCAGTTTCTTATTGGTATATGTGCATACTGTGTGTATTGCCTCGATATAGCCTTAACTCACAAGCATTATAAGCAAAGATGGATAGTAGCTATCAGTGGAATCTAGGACGCGTGTTTTTTCCCATCTGGGACTCATTAATGAGAAGATTCCAACAAACAACACTAAGTGAATTCGAACTTCAACACATTGCACAAACAAGTGGCTATCACGACTCAGTAGCTGAGTGGATAACGCGATGGTGTTTGAAGCGCAAAGTTCTGGGTTTCAGTGGACATCATCTCTGAGATGCATGTTCATCCAGTTGACAGGTCACAGACAGGACGAAACGCGCATCAAACAGGATTCCACTGCTAGCCACTATCCATCTTTGCTTATAAGTTTTGAACAATTATGAATTCTTTCTCTTTCGTTAAATGATTACTAGAGGATTATCAGTTTTATAAGGATTATTATTAACTGTAGAATGTAATTAACTAAAGAGAAATACTGAATAGTTATTTCATTCTATTGTGTGTGTTACTTATATCCACATAAGTAGTATATGACGATGATCAGGCAGAGAATGTATTTCAGCAGAAGATCGATAAGGAAAGAACCGGAACGAAACGCAATCCGTATGAAAATGCATGAACAATAATAATAGGAGACGATGGACTGTTATTTGCAGTGGGAACAGTCAAGATTGAGATAATTGATTGATAGTTTGCAGGTTAACTGTACGGTTATCAGATTTTAGTCAGATAGTCAGTAATATTCGTGTCAAATACATTCGATTGTCCTCACTCGTGTTCTTGTTCACTACAACTTGAGTTTTTAAACTGTTCAAAGTATCCATAGAATCGTTGGGTTCTCCATGATACCTAATCTCTTAAAGTTTGATAACATGTGAGATCATTCTTGTGAAATCTTGAGTCATTATTTTCTGATTTTAAAAGATCCATATTTGCAGAACAAATATTGATTCAGAATAATATGAATTCATTATATTTCGTGGTTTCTCATCAGCTGATTACAACCAAATATGCATTAGAGGGTCCAGGGCTCTCAACAGTGTGATAGCTCGGCATTTACTCGACACCGGGCACAGCATTGACATTTCTCATGCCTTTAAAATCATTAGTAAACAAAGAAGTACAACTGCTCTCCGGTTTGCTGAAGCGATCGCGATAAAAAACTCAAACCGGATCTATGTACTCAAAAAGAGAAAATCATAAACAAATTACTACACTGGTAATCCTTTTTTTTGTTTCATATTCTGATACTAGTTTTATTTTGGTTAATATTCAGTTTTTATTATATTCCTCTTCCCTTACCCAATTCTTAAACCATCCTTTGTCTCACACATTTCCGCTCATTTGTCTCTCTTAAATTATATGAACTCTCCAAATTCTATTCAATTATTGCGTAACCCATCCTAATTGCTTTTAATTCCATGACTCTAAATTAATCACACATTTGATCTTATCTGTTTTTGAACTCCACTCAACTATTACGCCACCCTTCATTCTAATACCTAATAACCTCTGACCTTTCCTTGCGCATATATATATATATAGTTATCATTGATGACCTTTTGTTATTCCAATCCTTTACATTCACTTATGTCAGTCGTTCCATGCTATTTATTGCCCCAATGCTAAAACTCTAATACATATTTGGTTGTAAGCAGCTGATGAGAAACAAAGAAATATAATGAATTCATATTATTCTGCATCAATATTTGTTCTGTCTTTATTTAAATTCATAAAGGGAACTAACTGCATGAGATTCATATTTTCTTGTCTATACGAATGGGACACTAATTCATCTTAGACGAATGTCTAAACTAAATACCCTTCCAGTGTTTATTCTATAGGACTTCAACATAACTCAGATCAAGAACACATGACTCGCCTGATTAGAATGTAAGTATATTTCCACACTGAAAGCCGACAACAATCACAATCAGACTATCTACTAGTTTGACTAAGCAAACAACTTATCATTACCTTCCTTTCCCATACATCAATTCATAGTTTGATTTTGATTTATGATAAAACCGCTCTAATGTAATTTCGTTATCTTATCAATATTTAAGACTTCAATGAATAGCTAAATGTTAAATGCTATTACGTTTCGTAGAGAGCATACTGAGGTAAACCATTATCCATAATACTGCGGAGTCATAACAACTATCAACTTATTAACTGGATATGTCATTTACTGATAAACAAAACAGTTTATGCCTTATCCTTGTTTATGCTTAAGACAGATTCTATTCAGTTCATGTTGTTAATATAGATTTGAATATCTCACTATTACATATTCAGTATTGAAAGTTATGGATAATGAGTTTAGGTTTCAGTGTAAATGTCAACAATGGAATTCAGATAGATCTAACTGATTAAACTCAGGTCAAACAAAGAACACATTCTAGAATCCTCTGATAACCTACTATTCAAAATGTAGAGAAGTTTAAATTCCAATCATAGAATGAACCACCATTATGTTCACGAAAAACTAATATTTCCATCGGATGATAGGAATTATAAAATCTTTATTTTAGTAGCAAAGAACTCAGTAGAGCAAAGGAGAGTCCATTTAACAGTGGAATTCAGAGTTTCCAAACGACCTTCATGTTCAATGTTCTACAATGAAGAATACTTTATGATAACCATTTATCTCCCAGCGCATAAAACAATCAGTAGATATTAGTAATGCTATGTATATGTGAATTTTAACAGTTCTTGAACAATGAAAAGTGCCGATAGAAAACGTTCTTTGCTGAAGTGTCATCCATTTAAGCAATTCTCGTAAGACATCACATAAATGATAAAACGTTTAATCAAAAGGGGGTTTTGTGGAGATTTTAGTAATTTTATTTAATTGAAATCATGAGTCAATTGAAGCTTGACCACCACGGAAAACCTGGAAGCACTAAATGACCGTTTCGTCCTATTGTGGGCCGTCCAGTGCTTCCAAGTTTTCCATGGTGGTCGAGCTTCAATTGACTAACGATCTCAACTTGATAAAAATCTTGTTCATTTCAGAATCTCATTTCTATCTTTTTTCTATTACAGATGTGAACAAATCACAAGAATATGTTTGGATTAAATATATTTTGGGAATTTCTATGTTTACCTTAATATGTCAAATAATAATATTTATAATTAAATATTTGAAGAAATACTATACAAAATACAAACTTACCAATCATAGAAATTCATTTTTAATGACAGAGAATGCAAGTAAGCATGTTAATTTTGTTTTAAAATATTTCCTACTCATGAGTAGTACGAATGATAATGACAAATTTTAGGCGTCTATTGCCAACTGGACGTTCCATGTACCTACAAAAAGTGTTGCTCTGGTGCATCGGCCTCGTGACTTCCGAAAAATTTCGGCTTTCATCATGAGGCGTCATAATTATTCCTTCAACTCCCAGGGCAGAGTTTAAATGGTTTGAATTATTTTTTCTGGTTAGCGTTTTTTTAGCGAGTTAGCTTTTCTACGGGATGGGTTCGCTAACCCCATGCTTAACCCTCCTCTTTTACCTGGGCTTGGGACCGGCAGTAACTTTAAAATAGCTACAGGCGGATATAAAAAGCATGAATCACAACTGGAAAGAACTGGAAAGGAAGGCTCAGGACAGAGTTGGATGGAGAATGCTCGTGAGCGGCCTATGCTCCTCGACGAGGGGTAACAGGCGTAAGCACAAGAACATTGCCAACTGGATCACATAACTTCATTTTCAAATAAAAGTGTTGTGTAAGAAGGAGCCAATCAGAACCAAAAGCGAAGCTTTTAGGCTTTTGTACAATTATTGATCACTAAGAACAGTAGGAATACGTTTGTATGATGCTCAAAATGTTTTAAATGATAGAGAAAATTACGTTTTGCCTCCATAGAGTAATAATTAATACATTAAATTCAACAAATGTTCAATTATGTTTCTGCAGATCATATATAACTGGCATATCAACACTATCATTTAATTTCAACACTAATCCTATATTCCTGATTGCACTAAATCCTATGGGCGAACTGATCGTATAACACCTCTTGTGTTTTTGAACGAAATTCATTCATCCATATGCCTACAGATAACTTTTGTATTCAAAATAAGGTAGTTTATGACGGCAACCCTTATCCTAAATAGGAAAAATATGGGACTCTTCCATGTCAACTCCGGTTTTTTATAGTGGTTCAGGAAAACAGGTTTTCTACATCTTTAGCGAGTATTTTTCTCACAAACGTTCCATTTATAAAAGCTAGTTTCTGATTGACTAGAAACTAGAGGAAAAATGATCACGGTTGTTTTAAGCTTGTCTGCATACTATTCTCTTGCCAACTTCGTCTTTTGTAAACTTAAGACAACGAATAATATTTCAGTATACAACAGAAAAGTTACCCAACATAAATCCATACATTGAATTGGTTGTATTGTCTCCGATATGTAATTACATCACTGTTTTAAAGTAATATTTGCTTAAATTAAGTAGAACCAAGCACTCTTGTGGGACTTTGATGGTGTTTTCATTCCAAACTTAAAGTAATTTAAACTTACTTGTATAAAGTATGTAGTTAACAATCGTGTACTTCAGTAGCAGGGATTATTCTAGTACTCGATGTGCAGTAAATTGTCAAACAATAATCTCTGAGGGCTAAAATTGAAGACAATTAAATAAAATGATATTTGAACAAAGAATTGTTCAAAATATTCATTTAGTATGTTCTAATAAGCTTAGAGACAGTTGACACATATCACAAAGGCAAGATGGTAGTTTGAGGTGGTCAACAGTAAACCTTGAACCCGGGTTTCGTGCTACTTGGCACTCGTCAGCAAGGTGTACTTGTAATCTTGAGGGCTCGAATAGCTCAGTGGTAACGTCTCTGACTGTGAAGCTGAGTGACACGGGATCGAATCCGTCAGGGCGCATTAGTTCCCTCAAGATTACAGGTACACCTTGCTGACGAGTGCCAAGCAGCACGAAACCCGGGTCCAGGGTTTCCTGTTGACCACCTCCAACCACCATCTTACCTCAGTATATACAGTGCACGCAGTGTCGAGCCACCTAGACTGGTGACCACATTGCAACTTGATCGATAGCATTCGATCAGCACTAAGAAGGACTTGACACGCATGACATTGATCACCACCCAGTGATTAATCAATTGTGATATATCACAAAGATTTATCTTCTGTATTTGATACTCACAGTTGCTAAGATATCCAAGCTGAAATTAGTTATTTATGAGTGAATAATCTGGATCTAAACAATTATACTAAAACATTGATAGTACTAATAAGATAAATAAATCTAAAATCCCAGAAATAATAAGATATTAGAAATCACATGGTGAGATTAAAATTTATGAACGAACCAATCAGATTTAAGGTAATAGGTCTTCGATTTGGCGCGAAATTCACTCATCCATTTGGTTAAATAAAGTTTTGGCATTATAGCTGATGTAAATTCATGATGAAAGCCCTAAATCAAATTCGTAACCCTAATCATTAACTGTAAATCATAATTCCAATTCCTTATACTGGTTTATAACCGTCAATTGGCCCTAGTTATTAGGTGGACACTCTCAAGGTCAATCAAAGATCGTCCATAAATTATAGTTTCACCAATCACATTTCAAACATACGGATAAACAACAGGCCATGAATATGTTTTGTTCAAGGGGTTGTATTTAATTTATTACATGTATCTTACTTAAAAACATAATACTCGTTGTGGGGGGGGGTAGTATCATACATTACTAATTGACAAAACTAACTAATAAGTGTCTGTTGTATAAGAACTTTCGTCTAAATTAAAGCAAATAGTTACAGAGTATTTGGGCGCCAAATTGATGTAAGACATTAAATAGGAATAATAATATTTGTAAAATTTCAGCGAATAAATTTGAAGTCAATCCAACGTTTTGCCTGGTAATCTGGTCCAAACTTTTTCAAGGAAATAGCTTAAATTAGATTGCCAGACGAAACGTCGTATTTTAATTCAAGTGTCTATTATTTTCCATTTTTTTTCTCTTTAGACGAAGTTCAGCAATCTGTCAATAGAGATGTAAACTCTAAACACATTTATCACAATGGTTATAATATGGAAAATATATGTCAGTTACACAATACTAATATCATAATTGATAATAATAGACTAAAGAAAGAAAGAAAGGATACTGAATGTGATATCATTGAACAGAATCAACCTGATCACCCACATCCACATCCACATCATCAACACCAGCAACAACAACTTCATCTGATCAATAGTTTACCTAAATCTAAACAAACTAATCAATCCATGGAATGTTTATTCACTTATCCATTGAATAAATCAAATACAATATTACATTATACAAATTCATATCTTAAATCCCCAATTTATGATCAACAGGATCATAATAATGTAGATCAAAATGATAATAATGATCATGATCTACCTCATTTCACTATGGATTCATGTATAAAAACGAAAAATAACGATTTATCTCAACATATAAGTAAATCTACATTGAATATTGCATCATCGAATCAAATGAAAGTACCAATAGAACATTCAATTATCAATAGTTGTATACATAAAAACAGATTACTCCCAACATGTTATCATAATGATTGTTTAAAACAACAATATGATTATTGTACAATATATCATAATTTAAAAAATCATAATTATAAAAATGGTTGGGTTTAAAGTGAACAGTTGTAAAATTCCACTTTTCTTTGTTTATAATGATAGTTTCTATGATGATAAAATTTTAATCAGTACACGTTTACAATTTGTATGAATTACTTACTTACGTGTGTTAACCTCAGTGCAACATAGGCTGTGGACGAGAATTCTCCAATCCACTCTGTCCTGGACCTTCCTTTCTAGTTCTATCCAATTTTTGTTTACTTTTCTCATATCTGTCTCCATTTCTCTGTGCAATATCTTCGTTGGTCTTCCTCTTCTCCTTTGACCTTCAGGATTCCATGAGAGGGCTTGCCTTGTGATGCAGTTGGGTGATTTCTTCAGTGTGTGTCCTATCCACTTCCAGCGCTTCTTCCTGATTTCTTCCTCCGCTTGATGGAATCTGGTTTGTTGTCTCCTACAGTAGGTTGTTGCTGATAGTGTCTGACCAACAGATCCGAAGTATTTTGTTTAGACAACTGTTAATAAACACCTTTATCTTCTGGATGATGGTTGTAGTAGTTTTCCAGGTGTCCGCCCCATACATTCGAACTGTCTTGATATCTGCATTGAAAAATGTGACTTCGCTGTTAGTTGACAGACAGTTGTTTTGAGTTCCAGATGTTCTCCATTTGTAGATATGCTGCTCTTGCTTTGCGAATCCGCGTCTTCACATCTGCATCAGATCCGCAATGTTCATCAATGATGCTACTCAGATATGTAAAGGTTTTCATATCCTCAAAAGCTTCTTTGTATTATTTAAATAGATTGAATTAATTGTCATTAACTTTGAATCTCATAGTGAATAACAGCCTTTTACAAAATGCTCAGAAAAAGAATATTATTGACGGTAAAATTATCTAAAATAGTGGGAAACTATCGGGTAATTTTGATATTTATATAGAATAGAAAGGATATGACTGCCAGTGAAATCTGGAATATATGTTAAGATCTTAATTGAGACTTATTAGCTAAATGTAATCACATCCCAGAGTTGATGTTCATTTCAAACGCCTAATAAATTATATATTTAGCTATTGAATCCAAACAACCACTCAGTTGTGGCTGTGAACGTGATAGACAGTAATTAATAGACGGGATATAACTCAAGAATAGTAAGTCGTATATTAATAGTCTATGGGTCAAAATAAAACTCATAATGAGAGGGACGCGAATATGAATAGTTCAGTTAGTTAACAATTATACAGTAAAATATACACACAGTATTGCTCCATAAATAGTTCGCAAAAGTTACCATTCACAATCCTCTCCGGGATATAATGGAATACGACATGCAGGCAAGAAGCCTACTGTTGCCAGTTAACACGGAACTCGCAAATACACTTTGGATGACCGTCTGCTCAAAACCCAGGGGACATATACTGCTGCAGAGGATCGCCAATTGATGAGACAAATCTTTGAGTGCCTCTATACCAACGTAAGAGGACTAAAGGATGAGCTGGCAGAGTTCAGAAACATTGGCCTTCACTTAGCTCTGGAGACAGCAGTCCTGGCTGAAACATGGTTGCTACACAAAGTCATGGATGAAGACGTGATCTTACAAGTTATGACACTCTCCGGTTACGACACGGTAGACATAATAGGATGTGGAATGGTGATATCTATTAACAGCCACTTCATACAGTACCGAATTGATGGGACAACAGGATTACGCTGATGTTGCTTCAATGTCAATGGTATGAAGCGCTTAATCAGAGGGATATACCGGCCCTCCACGGGTTCTAGCGCTCAAAAGTGTGGGAAAATATCGGCGATACTAAAGTTACCACTCCTGAACCTTAACACTTCGTCCCTAAATTTCAGTAAGCGGGAAACCCTCAAACCTAGGTTATCTGTTAACAGACGATTAGCTTTTAGCTGATGGTGCCTCAGTCTAAAGTAGTTATCACGACACAGTTATATTTGATGTGGTCAGAAACATGATACTTGGGAAGAACAAGAATACCTCCTATCTTGGATACACCAGGCCAGACTACATTTTCACGAAGAGGCATCTTCAACTGTTCCATGACCATGCAAGTGGTGGAAGCTGACAGTAGATGACCGTATGAGAGGTAGTAGGGGATATCATTCAGGATGCTGTCCTTCACAATGTACCTCAGAGAACACATAATCAGAAGAAGCCATCATGACAATGGTGTGTTACCTAATCAGGCAGTCACCAACTCCCAACAGAATGTAAACCGGCCACTCTCTCCAATCTCCAGGGAGGTAAATCGAGAGGATTCAGCCCTTTACGGACCAGCCCTACTACTTCTAGCACTATTGAGGTTAATGAAAGAAATGGTTAATGATCAAACAAGGGAATGCACGAACAAAAAGAACATGCTAAATGAACCTCAGGGTAAGCACACACTTGGAAAGAGGAGTTAGTGGGTTGAAAGAGGCATAGAACGCTTGCTGTAAGCGAGAAAGCGAGTCTGATGCAGGTAGAAATTCGCCCTAATGGAATCTGGTCTGAACTCTTATATGCTGTTGAGAAACAGATGCAGTACCACAGTACGAAGAGATAGGTGTTTAAAGGCTAAACTAACAGCTCAAATGCAAGCTGATCCCAACTATTTTCACGCACTCATGGCTAGGAGAAGGCCCAAAAACTGAGTGATTCGCACCTTTAAAATGTCAAGTGGCGGGGATCCGGTCAATTTAGAGACGGCGGAGATCTTTAACGAAAACGTAGCAGATTATCAAAACAGAAAGCCAGCAAGAGCGGAACGCTCCTCAACTCCATAGAGTTGACTCCAGAGTTAGATCAAGCTGATCGACAAATTTATGTTCAATCCGAAAAGCTTATTTCTCCAATTAACTCCCTCCTAAACAAGAGAAAGCTAAGGTTCGCCAGATTTTAGGTCCTGATGATCCAACAAACAGAGACAGTTTTGCTTCATAGCTCCCGGATGGACAACTATCTTTCATCGCAGGGGGAAGGTTCATATCATATACCTTGACTTCTCAAAGGCTTTTGATAGAATCACTCATATATATCTTATCAATAGGCTCAAAAGATTAGGTATCAAGTCACCGTTAATTGCTTGCTTCATGTCTAAATAATGGTCAAGATTATGGTCAAGATTAGCTTAACTTTTTCTCAAGCTACGGAGTATCCTGATAGGGTCCTTCAAAGGTTAGTACAAGAACCTCTTCTTTTCCTAATTTATGTAAAGGAATTTCCTCAGAGGGCATCGTCTTGTCTGTTACCTTCCGCTGATAATGCCAAACTCTGGAAAGAAGTTTGCAACCAGGATGATAAGCTAGCACGTAAGAACGATCTAACACTACTTCAAAGTTTGACGGACAGTAACAAACATACCTCTTCCTCAGAGGTATATCAAGTTAAAAAAGATCTAGGAGTTTTGGCACACTACTAGCTGAAGTCTTACGCTAACTGCAACAAAAATGCCTTCGAAGCAAATCTTGCACAGTTAAAGTCAAAGTGCATTTTTGACCAGTTCAGCGGAAAAACATTTCACTTTGTCTTCAACAAGTTAATTCGACTTCATTTGCAGAAACGAAATATAGTGGTTCTTCCCTCACTCCAAAAAGATAAGAATCCACTGGGACGTATCCGAAGACAAGCCATTGAATCACTTCGGCGACTCAAATCCAAGTCATATGCAAAGTACATCAAATTACTGAACCTTTATCAATTCAAAAATATGGGTCTCACAGGTGGCCTTCTAATGACATGGAATTCTAAACACTCCTGCACAACCCATCAAATATCCACTTGGGTCCAACCCCAACACAAACCTGAGGGGTAACACCCAGAAATCGGTAACATGGCATGGCAGAACGCGCTGAAGGCATACTGTCTACTTTTTAGAATTACTCAAGCTCTGGAATTTACTGCCGGATGAGCTAATTCAAGCAAATTCTCAGGAGTCCTTTAAAAGAAACCTTGATAAGTCTATACGGACTAACTACAGTATCTCACTAAAATTTACTAATAATTTTTCTCTTGTATAGTTAAATATACCTAGGATTCCTACCTGTTGTCAATAGTCCATTGGTATCAGATACGGAAGCCCGTTAAAGGAAAGCTTTTCTTATTCCGTCCAGAACCATTTGTACCTCTTGGATGTCGGCATACTATTTGAAGTTAGTCGGTGACCTCTTTAACACATAACGCTACTCTCTAGGTCATTCGTCCCACACAAACGCTTGTTATTTGTGGGTTGATTTGTTTACTAGACCCAATCTCAGGTAACAAAATGTGATTTCTCTGAATGATCCATATATACTTGTATGTCTGTGATCTATGTCAAGCAGTTACATGTCCTTTCAGAAGAAGTATTGGTGATCCACTGCTACCAGACACGGAAGCCCGTTAAGCGAAAGCTTCTTCTATTCCGTCCTCAACCATTTGAACCATTTGAACCTCGTGGCAATTAATCATGTTGATAATAAACGAAAGACTTTACGAAACAAAACTTCATGTCAACGTTTATTAGTTCATGCATTATAAGTGTGTACTGTATGGCTAGTAACGTGACATCTGTTATCTCTGAAATGGCCATTCCAGATGGTGTTTGTATGACCATTCTCCGGATTTCAGGGAAATTCCGGAGAATTTCTGGTAAACAAAGGGAGAAACCCAAAATTTCCCAAAATGACTTTATTAGCCATTTATTGTTCTTGCCTTAGTAACGTGTTTCGCAGAAATAGTTAACTCAATTTTAAGTTAACTAAATATATAGCTCCTTTCGGAGTACTTATTTGGACTCTGATCATACCCTTGCTTGCGTTAACCCTACTATACGTTTCAGTGGCCAACTAATTCACCGCTCTCAACGGATCAATCTCAGCAAGTTAGTTGCTGCCTCTGCTTCAATGAAATATAGAACCTAGATAGGTTCAAAGCTAGCTATCAACCTACCGAAAAGCATATGCGTGAACTGTCTGTAATTTTTTGGCGTCATGAAAATGAAAAGTAAAGTAGTTTGTGGCTTCACAGAGTCCCGCTTATAAGCACTAGGTTTTTACAAGCTCCTTACAACTCACTGAAGCACGTCGGTCTTCTCCAGGTGACCACACGTTTAACCATAAACGAAAGGTTTTACTTAGTGCAATTGTGTAAAGCTTGCTTAAGGACCGAAAAACGTGATGATCGGAGCGTGCTAACGAGTTTAAAGCAACATGTTTCTGGCAGCTGCCGGAAGCTCTTTAAACTCATCCGCGTCACTATCAGGAAGAATTCTGGTGTAAGTCAAATAATCTGCGAAGCTGACATGATACCAGTCAGCAACATCTACCGACATTCTGGACGATAGGTAGGGTTTCTCGAGGAACAGTTCAACTGGTATGCTACCTCAGCAACATCAATCAGACTATTCTGCCCTCCATGACTCATGACAACTGGTCCACCTAACGAGGCGGAAGTCCGCAAGCAACTCTAACGCTTGAAGTGCCACAAATCAACAGGCCCTATATGTAAACATCTCAGGCAGGGTGAGGCCATATAACTGCCTCTCTCCTTTGTCTCATGCATGCAGTGGGGTTGGACAAAGCTGCCCGAATCCACCATTCCTATCTCAAACTCGCCATTGATAACATTCTAGAAGCAGCTCTGATGGATATAATTAATTGTGGTGTGGATCTGCTGTCTGTAGAAAGACTTTTCAACCTTGAATATGCGGATGATATTGTCGCACTATGCAATGATACTCAAGCCATTCAATCTGCACATAATCAGTGTCCGTAGGTATGGACTGTGCTTTTCATCTTCCAAGTGCAAATCACTCTTATAAAATTGGCAGGACACTGGACCTGTACTCACTCTGAGTAGTGAGCAGATATAGTCAAAAAGTTCTAGGTAGCTGTGTGTACTAATGGTGGCGTGATTGATGAGATCAATTCACGTATAGTGAAAACCATAGCGGTTTATACCAATAAGGCCATCTTTGGCACCTTCATGATGTTAGTCTGGCTGTAAAAGGTCGAATCTACGACACATCGGTGAGAGCAGTTTCGCTCTATGCCCATAAACCCTGGCCTTCAAGTCGATAATATTAAACAACTCTGTGTTTGATCATCGTTGTCTCCGAATGATTGCTGACATCCAGTGGCAACACCACGTTAGTAATGCAGGGGTTCGGCACCGTCTGTTTTGACACAGGGACGATACTTCGAATGGTGTCACCATCTTGAAACACCGATTTCGGTGGCTTGGACATGTCCTACAAATCCCACGTCATGTATTATTTGCCGACTCTGGGACTGGTTAGAAAAAGATGTACAGAGCTGGCTTCTGTTGGTCCTTCATGACTCCCTGATTGGAGTCCTAGAGATGGTGCACACAATGGCTTGAGACTTCATCAGAAATGGCTCGATGTAAAAGCTAGTGGCGATCCTGCCGTAACTTTTTTTTTTACTTTCTTCATAAGAGTGAGTGTAACTTCTTAAACTAAACTAATTCCTGGTTGTATTTCATCTAAATGAATTTCTTCTGTCATAAATGTCATTATTTCGCTCTAGTATATATATATATATATATATATATATATATATATATATATATATACTAGAGTGAAATAATTAGATTAACAAGTTATCAACAATCTTTTAAAAACTATAATAGTAGTAAGTTTATGATAAAAATTACTTCATCGATTTCGTTTTTATTGTAATTCCTTCCAGAATATTTTTTCCGTCGGATCGCTTTTTAAAGTTCAGACAGGCTTGACCAATTCACAATAATGCATTCTGCATTGTACAAGTATGTCTCCATAGTACTTTACTATCAGATTGATACCGTAAAATGTAAATAATAAAATAGGAATTTACACAAATTCAACTATGGGAAATTTACTATAAATATTATTCAAACATATACAATTACACTATGTTTAGCAAGTCAATTCCTTCAAATTGTATCATTTTGATCAAGTATTAGCAACTCTCGAATCATTTTTACAACTCAACAGAATATTATCTCCGTAATTTTGTAGCAACTCATACTGCTTTTCATACATGACTTTATAATATCCCATCACTTCAATTATATACATAATGACTAGATCTTAGCATAGTTGTCTTTATAAAAACTTTGGGTGATTATAAACCAACCATAATAAAACGTTGTCGTAACAAAATATATTGGCTGATAAATTAGAACTGTTCACTTGTTTTGGAACTCATAAATCTAATGTTCCAAGCTTTTCTATTATCAGTCAGTCAGTCAGCCACAACGTAGGAATCCGGTGTTCATCTTGTTGTGCTAACGAGATATGGCAACTTGGACTGATGCATTTTTATTTATTTATTTATTTAAACACATATATATTGGTACAAAAGGGCACCAGGTACATATGCGCCACACAAAATAATGAAAGTAGGAAGAGAAGGGATGAAAAGATAGGGCGGGCTGAAATGTACAACCAGAAGACTCAGTTAGGAAAGTTAGAACCATTCTTTATGTAGAAAGTAAAAGAAGGTTGCGGCAGGATCGCCACTGGCTTCTATTCTGAGCCATATCTGATAACGTCTCTAGCCACTGTCTCTAGCACTATCTCTCGGACCCCAACCAGGGAGTCGTGAAGGACCAACAAAAGCTATCCCTTTGCAGCTCTCTTTCATGCCACGACACCATGTCATACACTGACCTCCTCTCCGCTTTCTCCAACCAGTCCCAGGGTCGGCAAATAATGCACGACGTGGAAGTCTCTGGGACGACATTCGTAAAACATGTCCAAGCCACCGAAGTCGGTGTTTCAAGATGGTGACACCAATTGAATTATCGTCTCTGCGCCCGAACACACGATGCCGAACCTCTGCATTACTAACATGGTGTTGCCACTGGATGTCAGCAATCCTTCGGAGACAACGATGATCGAACACAGAGAGACGTCTAACATCCTCAACTCGGAGAGGCCAGGTTTCACAAGCATAGAGCAAAACTGCTCTCACCGACGCGTTGTAGATCCGACCTTTTACAGCCAGACTAACATCACGAAGGCGCCAAAGATGGCCCAGATTGGCATAAGCCGCTCTGGCTTTCATTATACGTGCATCAATCTCATCACTCACGCCACCACCAGCACTTATATAGCTACCTAGATACACGAACTTCTCAACTACTTCGATCTCCTCACCATCCAGGGTGAGTACAGGATGAGAATCCTGCCAGTCTTGTAGGAGTACTTTGCACTTGGAGGGTGCAAAGCACATGCCGTACCTGCGGACACTGATTGCCAACTGATTAAGTGCTGATTGCATGCCTTGGGCATTATCGCACAGTAAGACAATATCATCCGCATACTCAAGGTCGAGAAGTCGTTCTCCAGGCAACATATCCACACCGCCATTACTTACATCCATCAGAGCTGTTTCCAGGATGTCGTCGATGGCAAAGTTGAAGAGGAATGGTGAGATCGGGCAACCCTATCTAACCCCACTGCTCGAATGGAACAAGGGAGAAAGGTGGTTGTATGCCCTCACTCTGCCTGAGGTGGTCGTATACAGGGCCTTTAAGATGTTAATGAACTTCTCAGGCACATCCTTCTTCAATAGACAATCCCAGAGAACAGTCCTGTCCAACGAATCGAAGGCCGCCCTGATATCAAGAAACACTACGATTGTTGGCCTGCGATAAGTATGACGGTGTTCTAACATTTGGCGGAGGGTGAAGATGTGATCAATGCATCCTCGACCAGAACGAAAACCAGCCTGCTCCTCGCGAGTCAATCGTTCTCGGGTTTTGAACAACCTACGAAGAATGATAGAAGCCAATAGTTTGGACGCAATCGAAAGTAGACTTATCCCCCGGTAGTTATTGCAGGAACAACGTGAACCCTTTTTAAAGATAGGGGCGACTATCGACTCATTCCATGATGTTGGAACACTTTCTTGCTCCCAAATCTTTACAAACAACGCAGTCAGTTCCTCAGCCAGAAAGTCACCACCATCTTTAAAAAGAGCCGGAGGTAAGTCATCTGGGCCAGGTGATTTATAACGTTTTAAGAGTTGGAGTTCCTTGCGGACTTCCGCTTCGTTTGGTGGATCAGTCGTCACCGGCCATGGGGGGCAGGACAAGCTGGTTGATGTTGCCGGAGCAGCAGGCCAGTTGAACTGCCCTTCGAAAAATTCCACCCATCGTCCAAGACGTCGACAGATGTTAGTGATTGGCATCCCGTCATCCTCGTTGATTGTTTCGCTCACACCAGACTTCTTGCTGCCAGTGGCTCGGATGAGTTGGAAGAGCTTCCGGCAGTTACCAGATGCAGCTGCTGCTTCCATCTCATTAGCACGCTTCGACCACCAGGCTTCCCGGTCCTTACGCAAGCTTTGCCCGATTTCATTACGTAACAGCCTTCGTTTGTGGTCAAACTCACGGTCACCCGGAGTAGACCGACGGGCTTCCATCAGTTGTAAGGAGCGAGAAGAAACCCAGTGCTTGTAAGCGGGACGTTTCGCGAAGCCGCAAGCGGCTTTACTCGCCATTTTCATGGCGTCGTGAAGAAGCAACCAATGCTCATCTATACTTTTCGGTGGGGTGGTAGCTAGCCTAGAGGCTAGCTCCGCTCGATACTTACTTGCAACAGAAGTTGCAGCCAGTTTACTAACATCAATCCGTTGGTGGTGGTCAATCCTTCGGCCACTGAAAAGTAAGGTGAGATTGGCGCAGACCAAGGCATGATCAGACTCCAGATAGGTACTCCAAAAGGAGCGGCAGTCTTGTACACAACCACGCCAGCAGTAGCTGATCGCGATGTGATCAATCTGATTCCAGGCTTGGGATGCAGAGGGAGGACGCCAGGTGGCACACCGGCGATGACTGTGCCGGAAGTAAGTGCTGGCCAGGAACAGGTTGTGGTCTGTGCACAGTTGCAGCAAACGGTCCCCGTTATCTGTCCTGCGACCAACAAGTCCCCATCGGCCACCTAAACGTCTCTCTTCTGTGCCTAGACGCCCGACCTGAGCATTCAAGTCTCCGGCTAGTACTACAATATCTGTCGAACGCGCTTTCTGGAGAAGAACTGTTAACTGATGGTAAAACTCATCCTTGATTGCATCCGGGCTGCAATCTGTCGGGGCATAGGCGGAGATGACGAAAAGACACCGTTTCTCACGCCGGTTTCTTCTCACTTTGATGGAACTTTCTAATCTAACAGCACATAACCGACTATTAATGGGGATCCAATCGATTAGTGCTGCCTCAGCTCTAGCGCTTAGTGCGACACCAACGCCAGCAAGACCAGACGAAGATGCCACAGGGTCCACGGATAAGCGCACGTGGAACAAGCTTTTAGAGGCGACAGATGGAGAACGGATTTGTAGTACTTCACTAGAGTCTTGAATACGGTTCTCGGATAGACAACAAACATCAACATTAAGACCTTCCAAAGACATGGTCAGCCCTATCTGTTGTCTGATATGCATTAGTGTGCGAACGTTGAAGGAAGCCAGCTTGAACGGCGTACGTGGTTTCAGAAAGACTGCCTCAGTATTCATTATCGGTGGAAGCATTCACTTTCAACCAGACAGTGACTGGAGATCGTTTAGATAGGACAGATTTTCCACCATGGGCGAGCTGCTGCATAAGTTGAAAAGTAAGGTTACACAAATTGGGGATAAAAGGGGGTGAGTTAGCGATATGGTAAGTAATAATAAAAATAATAAAGGTAATAATAATGTTAATTGTCTTGCTTTTAGTATGACCAGGGATATTATCGTCAATAGAGTTCATAATTTCATTCATTTGCGTGTGGGCTGTGATACTGCCCGGGTGCCCAAACCGAAGCAGGTGGTTTGCTTAGGGGACCACACCCGAGCCTTTGACCTAAAGGTCTGATCCACAAGGCAGTGGAGCATCGTATGGAGATGCAGTCCCATGGTTGCCGTTGACCAATGACAGGTTCTTCCGCCATTCGTTCCATCAGGATACTGGAGCCCATGTGCACCATTGGTTTGGAATCAGGGTTTTCCAACTCCCCTAGGTGGACCCTCCGTGTCCACCAATCCGGTTATAGCGCCGGACATTCGCTTTTCGTCCTCTCAATTTCGTAAACAACACCCCCGCCACGAGAAGGCAGTGAGTAGGGCTTCCCTGGCAGAGGCTATATATTCGCTGGCCATGTGAGAGCATTTCAAGAGGGAGAGTAGACTCTCCCCACTCTCGGCCGTACCAGGGCATTTGGGGGCATATGTGTGCCTGGTCCTACGTTGTAGCTGACTGACAACGTAGGACCAGGCACATTTATGCATCGGTCCAAGTTGCCATACCTCGAACATTTCTATTCTTATACAAATTTTAAACTATTCCTCTATCAATAAGTTATCTAAATAAGTTATACACATTATAGGTTAGCACGGCTAGGCAGTTATGGCTTTCCCTATAGAGAAAGAAATAATCACGTTCAATCCGTTCCTACTAATTAGTTTAAACTTTTAATCTAATAAAATTTGTTAAGTTATTTCAAATTCATGTTCATAGCATTGAGCTAAAAGTTTTGTGTGACTCTGAATGATGCTACCTGATTGTCTAGATGGGACTAGATGGATTGGGACTCAAACTAGATATAATGGTTGGGAGTTGTGTTTTATCCCCATAGACCAGTGCTTGGTAGTTTATTTGACTAAAACAAAGTGGGGTCCCAGCAAGTAAAGCTAATCAAATAATATAAATAGGTCTCATAAGAACGTATGGCTCAAACTCTAATTACGTACATTTGTACTTGGTAGATAAGTTACGTTTGAAAAATTTATTTATTTAATCATTCATATAGTTGTGCAAGTAATTCTGCTTAACCTCATTAACTATCGTCTATATCTAAATGGAAGCTACTGATGACTAAATGTTTGTATTGACTTTATAACAGACTGTAATATATCAAATGTTCTGTTGTTATCATTACGTTTATGGATTGTTTAAACCTTTACAAGGTTTAAAAGTATTTTCTTAGCCTGTATTCGTTTTAAAATAGTCTAACTATCATCATATCTAAGCAGATTAGTTTCTATGTCTTACAATGTCATTAATATACTATGTTGATGGTATCCAGATAGGACTGTACTCCTAATGTTAATACTGGATCTTTGTTGAGGGTTTTGTAATATTGGAAAAATGCATAAACCTATTTTCATCTAATTTTACTATGACTGTACCATTATGTTGGTTTACTTCTAAATGGGACATCTCCCTTTTAAAAAAATGCATCTTTAGATTTCCTTTACTTCGTAACTTGAACTTGGGTCGCGTAAAATTTCAAATTTCCCATTCACCGTCTGGTAATATACAACCTTTTGTTTGCCAATCAACTCAGCCTACATCTTTAAATGATATAACATTTGTGCCTGGACCAGAAAAGCCTAGTACATGGTGGCCTCATCAACCGTTAGTTCCTGGACGTCGTGTAGTAAAATTATATCCTGTTCGTTTTCGAAACAAACTTCGTATTGCACTAGTCAGAGAAGGATGTTCCAATAGACCTTTCTTTACCATACAGGTAAGTTCATAAACATTATTTAGTTATGTATGGATTCATTTAGTCAAGTTTCTAGACTCATAAATCATTTGATCACATTCATTGAAGGAATGAATGAATGAACATATTTCTGATTTGTATCCTCTTTCATAAAAAATTCTTAACAATCATGTGAATTGCTACTCATATTACTGTTATCTTAGTCTAATCAGCGTACATCTACCACGTTTTGAGCTATCTGCTATGCTAATATATGTAACATATTTTAACTATCTAATCCAATGAAAAATCATGTCGCTATTAATTACCGAGTAGTTTCCTTTAAATAATTGTTTAAAACTATATGCCTAGAAATACTCACGTCGAAAATCAACTGCCTAGTTTGAAAGTTCACTATTTATATGTACGACTGTGCATTTTATTTGGTTAGAATGTTTTCATCGTGATTTTTGTTGATTAAAACATAAGAATATCAGTAAAGAGTTTTGTTTGTCTAAATGAAACCACAATGTCATCAGTATAAAATGAACGCATAGGAATAGTATTGAAAATCCCCAAATGCAATCAGTCTAAGTATGAAAGAACCTTCATCTAATGAGGTGGTTAAGATGTGTGTTACCCATACCTAACTACCATTTATCTTCACGCGCCCCAAAATGCCCTGGTACGGCCGAGAGTGGAGAGAGTCCGCTCTCCCTCTCGAAATGCTCTCACATGGCCAGCGAATATATAGCCTCTGCCAGGGAAGTCCTACTCACTGCCTTCTCGTGGCGGGATGTTGTTTACGAAATTGAGAGGACGAAAAGCGAATGTCCGGCGCTTTAACCCGGTTGGTAGACAAGGCGAGTCCACCTAGGGGAGTTGGAAAACTCTGATTCCAAACCAATGGTGTACATGGGATCCACTATCCCGAGGGAACAAATGGCGTACGAATCAATCGTTGATCACCGGCTACTATGGGACTGCATCTCCATACGATGCTCCACTGCCTTGTGGATCAGATCTTTCGGTCAAAGTCTCCGGGTGTGGACCCCTAAGAAAACCACCTGCTTCAGTTCGGGCACCTGGGCAGTATCACAGCCCTCAAGCAAATCGAATGAGATTTGTATGGCGCATATGTATCTGGTGCTTCCTTGTACCAATATTTATGTGTTTAAATAAAATAAAAAAAGTGACGCGCAGTGATGGCTGGGAAAGGAGTAGGTTTTAAAAATTTAGGGAGTCATAAACGCATTGACTATTAGTCTGTTAATGGACGCAGACTATTTGATTGGACTCCTCGCATTACATGTAGTCCGTGGTTAGAGACATTGTTTAACATTGAGTAAAATCGGTTGCCACGTGACAGTTAACCTGTTTGTTTTCGTTTAAATTCTGCTTCTCAATATTGAAATATTTTATTCTGCGAATTCTCCCCTTCTTTCTAATCAATAATCTTCACATAGAGTTTTTCTCCAAACCAACGCGAACAATACTATGATTTTATTCCATTAGCATGTGCCTTGTTAATAATTTTCTCACTGTTTCGAAACGATATGAAAATCTAGACCAGTTCATATTTATACCACGAATCATGTTTGTTTTACGACTGACACTAATTTCCTTAACTATTTCTTCATTTTATTCATATTACAGATTAAATCTAATCTGGCCGAATCGAAAAAAATTGGCATTGAACAAGTTGGTTCATGGGATCCATTACCGAATATTCATGGAGAACAATTGATTGCATTAAATTTTGAACGTATCTCCTACTGGATAGGTATGGGAGCTGAACCAACTGTTCGTGTGGCTGAATTATTAGGATTATGCGGATTTTTACCAGTACATCCAAGATCTTATTTAATGGCTCATAGAGCTCGTATTGCAATGGCGAAATATTTGGAGAGACTAAAACAAAAACAGAATGAACAGGTTACTGATGATATCACACTGAAAAGTGGTGATGCAAACGAAGGTGAAATAGTAGTGGATAATCAAAAAGATGACACTAAAGAAGTGGATGTTGATTTACGTGTTGATTCAATATGGCGTAGAGGAAATGAACCACCGCACTGGTGGTATTATGGTCTACGCTAAAAAAATCCGTACCCATAAATTCTAAACCTGTGAATTATATGTTTTCTTTCGAGAGCAGTAATTTCTTGAAAATGTAAATAAATATCTTTTTTCTTTAAAATCAATTCGTTTGTTTTCTCTCTGTGTTATTTTGTTACAATATCATTGTCAACTTACAGTTATGAAGTGTGATTGTGTTTCATTGTGTCGGTAATGACGTGAACGCTGGCATGAATTTGTTGGTCCTACCACAAACATTTTTGCTTGACAGCCTTCGAAAATCAAATAACATTAAATAGCTATTTCATCCTGTAGTGAAAATCTTCAACCATGAGCACCCATAGACTCCCCTATCCAGCGATTAAACCAGGGAATTTCAGATCTAAAGAAATTAAGGGGAAATTTGAAGGATACTGATTGAATTTTCTACACCTGTCGAATAACAAGTAGTATTTTAAGGCATTTTATACATTCGTATAAATTAATTCACATTTACTTAACAGGAGCATCATATGAATCTAGCTGATGAATAAATTTCCGAAGATTTGTTGACTTTTGTCAAGCCACATCACTTATTGAATAGTGACTGCAATTGTAGATGGTTTAAAAGGTATCTGCCCAGTCAAACTAAGATTTTAGCAATCCATAAAAGGTAACTGATTGTTGATCACAGGTTTCCAAGCGGCATTTTTACGATGATTTGGCAAATTAGAGGGTGAAGTAGCCCAAGTTATATATGAGGTATTAACCCTTTACGTTCATCCAAATCTCGAATATCTTACTCTATATTTGCTTTTCCATGTTTACTCATGTCATTTTAATTATTTTTTATACTGGTTTCCTTTTTTATGATATTTTCACAAGTGTTTTAATTGAAAATGGTGACAAATTGTAAATAACATGTATTCATGTAGCGGAAGTACTAAATTAGATTGAATTAAGTAAATAAAACGTTATATGACCCAAAATGGACAGAAGCCATATGTTAACACTTCTAGACCAACTATGCGGACTTCATAATGAACGTTACTTTCGCGATTCTACAAGAGGCGTACAAGTAAGAAACGACTGTCTATTTAAAAGCTATTGGTTAATTGGACTAATATATATATTGCCAAGTGTTCATTAATTTAAAACTTTTGCATCTCATAAGGGAGTATACCCAAACAATTTGGTTTTATTTATTTGAACACAAATGTTGGTACAAAGGGGCACCGAATACATATGCGCAACACAAGTCACTTGATTTGTGTATGGGCTGTGATACTGCCTGGGTGGTCAGACCGAAGCAGATGGTTTACTTAGGGAACCACATCCAGAGCCTGCGACCTGAAGGTCTGGTCCACATGGCAGTGAAGCAACGTCAGGCGATGCAGTCCGATGGTAACCAGTGACAAAGAATAGGTTCGTGTGTCATTTGTTCCTTCAGGATCCTGTAGCTCATGTGCACCATTGGTTTGAAATCAGGGTTTTCCAACCCCTTATGTGAACTCTTCGTGTCCAAAAACGCAGTTAAAGCGCCAGACATTCGCTTTTCACCCATTCAATTTCGTGAACAACACCCCCTTCGTGAAAAGGCAGTGAGTAGGAATTCCTTGTCAGTGGTTAAATACGCGTGGCTACATGAGAGAGTCTGGAGAGGGAGAGTGGACTCTCCCCACCCTTGGCCGTACCAGGGCATTTGGGGTCTAAACAACTTGGTTATTTTGAAATGATACATTCAGATGAAGAAAACAATTGAATAGATTAAGTCTATCTCATTAGTGAAATCCTTTTCCTAATTTAGTGATATTTAAAAATGTTCGAAGTCTTGAAATAATAAATGCTTAGATTATTTACTGTAATCGGAAGTACGTTCAATAAATCGGTTGAATCTTACAGACGTTTTTAAATCACACAAAAGTAAGCATTTACATAAAGAAATTTTTTAAATGTTCACTTATTACAAAGAATGCGTCAATAGTCAGTGTATTATAAAAGAAGGCAGCTACTTAACATTCAAATAAGGCAACTGTGATAATTAGATTCGGTTCCTAAGCTTTTCTAGTAATAGTCAGGCTAAATCTACACAGCGACTTGAACACGAGAGGAAAGTCTTGAAATATGGAAAAAGCGCATTCCTCCAAGGTTCTTTTGTGTGCAGAAAGTCCAGGATATTGATAGTATTCTGGATGGCCTTGGGCTTCCTGAAATCTCGACCGCTACTAAACAAAGTAGCAGTATAAGTAATCATCCAAAAAGAAACGCGACGCAATAAAGCAATGTCTCTGGTCATGAAATACCTTGTCAGAATCATGAAATATGAGATCATTTTGATGAACTTTAACACCCTCAAGATCATTGAGTACCTTATTCATCACTTCCTAAAATATGACTGGAGAACAAATTAGATCAAATGAAAGGAAGTTGTATTTGGACAGGTCAAAAAGGAGTGTTAATTGTTGTCGAAATAGATGAAGAATAATGTAAAGAGATTTTAAGATAAGCATATATTAAATCAACCTTTGAGAATACATTAGAACCATGAAGTCGATTTATAATATCTTCAGCTTCCATCGTCTTGTATGTTTGCTTTTTAGTGGCCATACATCTGACTCTATTTGGATCGCATGAATGATGGTTATTGAAATATGCATGTCACTAATCCTCGCATATAATAATTGACTTCATAGAAATAAAAATAAGTCGAATATGTGAATGAATTTCGAAGATGTAGGGTCGGTGAAATGTCACTGAATATCGAACAGATCATCGATCCCTGTCAAGGTCAAGGATAGTCAACGCGCACCAGTCAATATATGCCATGGACTGGCCCACGCGGCAGTGGTTGTTCTTTCACTTCTGTACTTTCGTGGTTGTACCTTAACTAATATATTCTTGTAATAACGTCCTTTGTGTTGTACAGTCTCCATAGCATCCATGGCCCCTTGTTACGTCGATGGGGGCAATCCACATAAGGTGCTGGTCGCGAGGTGTGACTTCAGCGTTAGTTGGTTCGTCACCATTCTCGTCTAACTGTAGTAGGCCCCCAATCATTTCGTCATAGACCATCAACGTTGATGTTCTACATTGTGTATTGAATGCAACCATTGATCCAGACCAACTATCGAAGAAACGAAGAGAAGAGAGCAAAGCTGAATGACGTGCAGTGAAAAGAGCATGTAAGTTGACCCGATTTATTTAAGCGTTAGTCAATACTTATAGTCCACAATAAGATCATGAAATGAACCAAGGGATACATATGATCGCTTATGAATATTGGCACTACCTTTTGAAATATTGGATAAAGATAAATGTCCATTAGAACCAACCACATTATTGAGATCAGAATGACAAAGTGCAAAGTGCACAGTAGTTTTGCAAAGTGACTCGATGTGTCCAATTTCACCACGTTCAAAGCATTTATCATTACGAAATACACAGATCTTTCGTAAGTAAAACATGCCAAATAACAAACATTTCGCGAACTTGTGCTTAACTTTATGATTTGCCTTCCCATTCCTTGATAAATGGCTTTTTTATATTTCCACGAGAACAGGATACATTATTAAAAAAACGCAAGCTTGAGCGACCCTGAGAGTGTAGTTCATTACTACGACTAAGCAAAATATTAGAAATATTTTGTTGTCTTTGTTTACGGATTACATTGATATACACATTGCGTGAATAATTTGGATACACACCTTGAATTGTAACAATCATATTTGGAAACACAAACTACTTATAATTGTGGATCATGAGATCAAAAAGGGACTCAAACACGCCTCTTCCTGATAAATTAAGTACCCCCCATGTTTTTATTAGTATGTGGTTTTTATTCCGGTATATCAGCAAACTGACCCTCTGATGAATGGGACTTTAGAGTGACTCTTTACTGACTCAAAGTAAATCAACGTCACTTGTAGTATTGTGATACTTGTGTAATAAGAATATCATGAAACATCGAAGTTATCATGAACTGTTGTTATGAAATTTTGTCTTGTTAACTAGGTTTGGAGATTTTTATCTCGGCTAATTTCGGACCTAACTCGTTCTCTTGACTTTGAAATAGTGGCTTCCTTATTGATATTTGGTTTGCCGCTTAGCTAACAGACTCAAGAAAATCCCATTATTAAGGTGCTTTGTTCGGTAGATTTTCTATTTACGCAAAAAGTCCTGGAAATCCAAGTTTCTTCATTTGATTTCGGACTTCATTATAATTAGAACTATTCAAATTAATGTACTAATTAGGAATCTTCGAGAAAGTGCGATTTAAGCCAGATAGAACCATACGAGCACAAACGAGCGTATTGTATTTAAAATTCGTATAATGCAAGAAGTCTTGGACACATCAATCATTAGTTCCTACAGATACCACAGATTGCAATTCAGTTGAACATCAATATCTCAATCGTCCAGAGTCGCTAATTCGGACATCAGAAATTTTATTTAAGGCTGTCTTTGCACATTGTTGATCGCGTAGTTCGAATAACAAGGGTACAATATTTTTGGATACGCTTACTGATTTCTCACCTATTTAGATAATAGTGCACTCCTTACTGCTAGGGCATAAACTGACCGGCTCAGGGACTAAGTTGCTACACGTCTGTCCGACCGAATGCTCAGTGTTGCTGTCGACTGTTCGCACAGTGCTAACCTAATTATGCATTTTATAACCTCCTTCTGCAGGTTTGTCATTTGTGGCCTTGTTAGTTGCATCCATATGTGTATCTGTCGTCTAAACTGCAATTGGTTGTCTGTAGATTATACATTATTCACTTTTCCCAACAACTGAGTCACCCGTTTTACACTAAGCAGCCCATTACTGCCACCCCAATTTATAATTTTTCGTTGAAATATTAAGACATGTCAGCAAAAACAATTTTCTCTTCAGAATGATTGATCAGGCTGCACAACAGTTTTTTGTTTGATCTACAAATGAAATAGTCTATTGGAAGATAAGACAATGATCACATAAGGTCATGCGTTAAGGACTGTTGATTTATAAAACAGAACAGAATGGAGACAAGAAGTTGAAATAAAATATAAGGAAGATAGCTATCCAACTCACGAGCATGAAGATTGTAAAGAATAAATTACAAGCGTGAATATGACATCTAATAATTGAAATTAAGAAGAATAAAAATGTTAGAAGGACATAACAAAATCAACTTACCGTCCATAAAAATTACATGTTTGGACTATAGAAGAGAGATAGCCTGCACGGATCTCTTTGCATAAAGAGCTCAGATTTGAATAATGGATTGCGCCTCATCATTTCATAGGTTGTTAATTTGTTTGTCGTCGATGGTTTTACAATGGGTTTTTATCCTCATGCTTCTAGTTACTTTGAAGATCGTACACCACTTACTTTAAAATAAACAGACATAAACCTCAAAATCTCATCATCCTCCATAAAAAGACATAGTAGCAAAGAATGTAAATTATCTGACATCATTCAATTTGAACACTGTGTTTGAAAGATCATTTGTCTGATCGAAATCCGATATTACACTGCCTGTTGCTGTAAGATATTGTTTTGAAGTGGGATTTTTAGAATCTATGTTTCCTTAATTTAGGCTTAATACTTTTCATGAGGTTTTTCCAAAATACTCTGTTTTTGACTATCAGTTCCAGTTACTGTCAAAGTTTTTCTGGGTGTTGATGTTTGTCTCCAATCGCCATGCCACGTGCTTTTTGGTCTGACTTTTTTCTCCCTCAACTCGGGGATTTTATGATGGGGCTTGCCTTTTGTGGCAGTGCTTCTTTTAGCAACATGGGATTACTAACACGATAAAAAATATACTTTTTAATCCATGCTTGAGAACGCCAGTAACTGTTAAGGGCTGCAGACAGTTCACCAAAGCCATATGGTGTAATTTTTTTAAGCGTTTTCAGAAAAACTTACGTTTATTTGATGTGATAGATGTGATAGTTTCTAAGTAAGAGATGTCGAAATTTTCTGAAACACCTAGCTGAATGCTCAGGCTTTTCCACAACTATTGTGTCAGCCAATGTTATGTTTTGTTATCTCTAACACGAGCTGACTTCGCGAATGGGAAACAGACTATTCATGGGCATCAAAAGCCTACATAGATGAATTCATCCCTTTAGAAATATCTCTGACTCTAACTTTATTCTTTCACAGGCGCGGGATCAGGTACAAAATAAATCTGGCGATACTATGAATATCTTATACGGAATTACAATGACGCTTGTAAAATTGCTTGATGTACTGAGTTCTAAAAGATTATTTGTTACACTGGCCGGGTTTTTCGTAATACACACTATGGAAGTTTTTACAGACTCCTTCATGACAATGGTGAAAAAACCTGAAATGATCGTTTAAGTATACAACGTCGTGTTTGATGAGTAGATTGTAGTATGTGTTGAGTCGCGATTGACTATGATCACCACTACAGGAAAACTACGTGCCGATTGCTAGGTTATATTCCTCTGAAGACCAAATATCAGAAGGCAATGGAAGATTGTAATAGGACGTATTTTTTCGCGATCTCGTGTATCAAAACAATACCGAGATCGTGCCAAAATTCAAAAGCGAGACTACTGAGCGTACGAAAGTTCGTGCAAGATCACAAAACAACGGAAGAGTTTTTTTTATACGCTTAATCAAATAGGTACAGTAAAACAATCACTGGTACATTGGTTATAATTTTTTTCATTATGCCAATCGCGTTCTATTCATAAGAATGGGTCACCGCAACACCACAATCGTATAAGTACTAACTTTCGTTTAGTCGCTCAAAAAAATGAATACAGGGCTTAGATAAGGTTACCATGTTTGCCAGGTAATTATGTTTCTTTATCAACCCTGAGTAGTAAACAGAATTTCATCCAGCGAAAGTTTCATTTAGCTACGAAGTGAATGAAGAAGCAAGATTCAATAGAAGAACCATTTGTAGGGCGCATCAGTCCTAGGGATCAGATCATGTTATATACTCTTGACCAAGATGATGCTCAGCGATCGTTAATTCTACGTATAAACGATTGAACGTGAAAGATTATTTGGCAGTGAATCTTGGAAAGTACTTCACAACGTAAAACAGTGAAACAATGCATACAAAAGTCTAAATTTCAGGAGCAAACGTTTTCATGGTTTTGAAGATCACCGGATAAAAAAAAGATCATTTAGTCATAGTTTTGAGAAGAATAGAATTGGTTTTCGAAAATTTAATCAAAATATTACTTTGAAATAAGGAAGAAGGTGTAAAGATTGTTGCATTACAATGTATTTGTTTCAATTGTCCATTTTGAGCGTCCTCTAATAAGCTACATTTCAAAGTTCGTTGATCCGGAAACAGGTAGATTTCTAAGATTATAAGTACAGATTTCTTTACTTGAATGAGTTCTTCCATGGTTTGTCCAAAACAATTTATTGCTGTGATGCGTTTTTTCCACTAAATGAGTTGAAAATCTTACCTAATGTTCTATATTTATTGAGTAAAATGGGTTTTATGTTCTTCAAACCAGTTTGTAGGTTTTTTATTTAACACTGTTCCGCAGTTTCACTTTTATTCGCTTATTAGTTATATCATATAAAACTGAGTGAGCAAATGTTTCATGCTTGTACCTCAAATCAACATGCATATGGGATTATACGATCATCTATTTATTCTCCCTCTCTCTCGATATATATATATATATATGTTAGTATTTCAAAGCAATACTTTTGACTAGTGTTTGTCTTAGAATACTTTTTCTTGCATGTCAGGTGACGTTTTGTTTGTTACATCTTGAATGTAATGTTATATATAATTTTTGTTTCGAAATTCAAACGACTAAAAACAGGTTAGAAGTATATATATTTATCTTTGCTGCATTAATAATATTTTCTAACCTTCTGAACAGCATTTAACGTATCTGATTATTTATATGACTATCTTTACCTACACAATAAGTTTACAAATATACTGCTTATATATTTGTCTAACCAGTTTATTGAACTGTCTTAGTTTCAGTTTCAGTTTCAGTTTGGAAAGGACAGGAGGCTTGGCGGCCTGTGTTAGTCCTGGCAATGATGGTCTCTCAGCTGATCCAACTTTCTTTTGAAGGAGTCGACGGATGGAGCCTCAACCACGTGCTGAGGTAATGAATTCCACTCGTTGATTATTCGATGGGAAAGTCGGTAGTCAGCTGACAAGTAATTCGTTCTGGGCTTGTGAACTTTTTTGGAGTGTCCTCGTAGATTTTCTGTTTTGGAAGACAAGAAAAATGAGGGCATATCAGGTGCAAATTTGTCATTTAGCAATTTGAAAACTATAATCAAGTCACCTCTGATTCTTCTATATGACAGCGGGAATAGGTTTAGCTTTGTCAGTCTAGTACCATACGGGAGCTTCGCTATTCCGGGAATCAGCCTAGTTGCTGTTCTCTGAACCCTTTCCAAGAGTTCACTGTCTTTTTTTAGGCAGGGGTTAGCTGCTTGTATACAGTACTCAAGTTTAGGGCGTACGAACACTGTATACAAAGTCAGAAACGTTTTAGCGTCAAGATGCCTAAAAGCCCTGCGTATGGACCATAAAGTCCTAAAACCTTTGGCGGCTATTGCACGGCAGTGTGCAGTAGTCTTTAAGTCTTGACTAACGATGACGCCTAAGTCATTGTGTGCCTGAACAATAGGTAACTCAGTGTTATTCATCGTGTATGTATCTGTACCCTGATGGCCAATATGCATCACAATACACTTGGAAGTGTTTATCGGCAATTGCCAGGTTTGGGACCATTCAGATAATCTCTCCAGGTCATTTTGAAGTTCTAAGCTATCGCTCTTGCTTTGTATCGCTCTCCATATCTTGACATCATCAGCATAGAGTAAGACCGATGACGATAGTAGACGAGGGAGATCATTTACATACATGAGGAATAACACTGGCCCCAAAAAAAGGCCATCCGAAAGTAGCGGATGTGTCATGCCTCAGGAGAGTGGGCATCAGATGCCCTGTCCGACCTTGTGCAGGGGACTACCAACCATCTCTCCTTAAACCCTTGAAATTTAATAGATTCACAATCATTGAGCTCTAATGAAAGAAATTATGCGCAAAGTTTCAAGCTGCTTATATGAAAAGTCACAGTGACAGTTTTATTCAAATTGAATATTTATCATCACGACTTATTATGATTTATAACTTATTTTGACAGTAGATAAAGTGACAAGCACATAAGCATATCTCAGGAGAGAGTGTTGATTGCTTCCCCCTAGTGTTTTCTACCAAATTTTTTTACTATGACTTCGATCTGAGAGATGGGCCGCCGCTTTGATTAGACAAGGCATACAGTTTTGCAGCTAAACGTCTCCTTTGTACGACATCGTACTCATACACTTTGCATACAGCTACATACTTGAAGTGCATAGGTCCGAGAACTTCTGCAATTCGTGTACATAAACATACACATTAAGTAGCCGGGTACGATTGAATGAGCCCCGAATTCAGAATTCATGGTAATCAAGGATATACCAGAGTGTTTGACTAGCCTTATCAACCGTCAACCTCCTAAGTTGACTGTCAAGGTTACTCTCACTATCCAGTAGCTCCATAAGGCGATTTTAGGACGGATTTCCTTGTCAAAGTAAAAATATATTTATGGAAATTACTTATAACTTTATATGAGTGAATAGTTGTACAGTGTGAATATTATACATACACATACAGACATGTTATTAGTGAAAGCTAGTCACAATTTTTTCCATTTCCAACACTATTGAAATAAAAATATTGGGTTTGTTAGTTTGGAACTTTTTAAGACAGCACGTTGTTGTTTTGTTTTTAGAATTACTGGAACAGCTACATCAAAGGCTGTAGTGTCATTCTTGGTTATATATACTAACTACTACTCCATTTAATGGCCCTAAACGATGAAGCCAAAGAACTAACTACAAATAACATGCTTTCATTCAGTCCCATTAAGACTTTGTATATTAGAAAAAGAAAACACCTTTGTATCTCTAACTTGTAGGTGTGTGTAAAACAAGAAAATTTCGTCAGTTATATTGGGTTCTCCGAGCTGTATGATACTTTATAATGGTAATTTCCTGCACCATAACAATGAAGTGTTTTTAATTATTGTAATTAACATAACGATTTGATGTATTCCCTCCAACTAAAAAGAGTATTCTTGTAGGGTATTTTCAGTGCTTTCGTGTATAAATATGAGATACAAAAAGCTTTTAGTTGAGGTGGTTCAACGTTACATTCTGGTAGGAATTACGATTTTGTTTGATCATAAGTATGTATGATTGCGTTTCAGTAGCTTGCGAATAAGTAGTCAGATATTTTATCGACATATCCACAACCAGGTAGGTCTGAATACAAAATCGTTCATAAGATGTGTCTTTCTTGAAAGTTAGTGAGAAAAAAGAGATTATGTTGGACATATGATATCATGAAATGATAACAGGTTTACTTTTTGGATTTGTACGGAATTTATACCAGTTATATTGGCTCAGACAAAATTATGGAGTGACAAAGGCTTTAAACTGAGAAGGTTGACGTTTTGTTTCCGGTACATTATTTAAAAAACTAGACAGCTATCAGCATCTTCATGAAATCTTAAAATTTTGAAAATACCCATCATATTAATTAGAACAATGCATACTATCGAACAGTATTTTTCATAATCCTATCTCCATCAGGCTTTGTTACAATGTACAGTATTGCTTGTATGAATATACCAAAAATGTTAAACAAAGCAACACAATTTAGGTCAGTAATGGCTCGATCTTCAGTTTACAACATCATTCTTGCAATTTTTCGCTTTTATTCTGATCACATCACTTTTCTCAAATCCATAATTTGTTTTTTATTTGACTGATGTCAACTCTTGTTATTCTTAATTTCTATTAATTTATGTTCAGCTGCTTTATTACACAACAACTTCATTCTTTTAACTTTATGGTCTCTTGTTATTATTTCTGGTGGTTCAGAATGTTTTCTTACTTATCACATTTATTTACAGCCCTCTTTGTATGTCTTCAGCTTCATCACATTTGAATCGCCACTTCACCATGACGTTAAATATCTAATTTTACTGCTATAATTTTGTAAAATTTACGATAATTTTGATTTGAAAGTTCCATAGGTTGTAAGCATCTCATGAAAACTGACTAAATAAAATGAATTCATGTTATCCTGCCCAGTTAATAAATGGAACCAGGTGAATGAAAGTTAGATGTTCAAGGCTGTTTTCTTTTCACTTTTTTGAGCTATGCGACAATAACTTCAAAACGTTTGGTCATTGATATGATTGAAATATTTTTTTATGTGATCTGGACACCTAATAAACATGGTTTGTAGTCTATGTGCACCTGGATCAAAACATTCTATCAATTTAAGGATTCATTAAATATTAAATTAATCCGTTCTATTGTGAAGGACATTTTGTGTGTATAATGCCCATGATTATTACATTCTATACTTAGATCCATTATGTAACATTTTCTGAAAACCTTTGCACTAGAGTTTCTACATTTATCCACTTTTCCTCCATCAAATTTCAAGTCTTAATTCAATCTCATATATCTTATATTAAGATTTTATTCAATCTTTACAAACCATATTAGTTATATTTAATTTTCATCTGATTGAAATTGTATTGTTCACCATTAATTCGGTTCAAATTACAAGGTCAGTGGTTTTGAGTGCTGTTAGAGGTATGAGGGCAGTTATCACCTCCCGGTTGCCCACACTGTGGAAGGGTTCTTCTAGAGGTACCTGAAAAGGAAATCGGGTTAGAAAGGGTCTTGATAACCTGACAGCGTGACCGCAGTGCTCAAGGGACAACTTCTTGAGGTCGGTCACACACGACCTGTTTGTGGGTAATTTTTGTGTGAGCTCCGCTCTTCGAAGGACCTTACCGCCGGAGACGGATATCCGTGAGATACGGTGAGGAATGCATTTTTAAGGTCGATCTTTTCTAACCTCACCCGTCCTTGTGGGAAGGCAGAATCGCTGTTATGCTGGTTGTCTGAAGGAAACACCTTACTGCCGTCACACCTCTGTACAGTCAGCAGTACGACTTCGCCTTCGTACCTTGGGTTTGCTTCTTTTAGTCTTACCGCTCTTCAACCGACCTGCCTGGCATGATAGGACCTTGAGGAACGATTGTTCCAGCCAGTATAGCTCGATTGGTTCATCAGGGTAGGCAAGCCCGACCACCACGTCAAGGTAGCAGCAACTTAGGAAAATTTATTCATGCACCTTAATCTTTCGGATTACTGCTTATACTCTTACTATTTCTCCCACTATGGGATTTGAATCGACAACTGCGTCTCTGTGCTAATGTGGTATGGCAACTCGAACTGATG